GTGTCCAGCAGGCACCAGCCTGCCAGTGGTGGAGAAGTCAGGACAGTTTTATGAGTGCAATCGCCGCAGTGTTCTGGCATTGCGCACGCTGGGAATTGGCCATGTTGGCTGGCAAATTTTTTGCGGCCTCATGAATTTGCCCCACCTATTCAGCTATCTGCATTCCAGCGGCACCAGCGAGCATTGTGCAAGGCGGCAAGGTCAGTTGCGCAAATCAGCATGAACGAAGCAGCAGATGAACAAGACAATGGACAGGCCTAAGCATATAACTGCTGTCACCTATGATGGTACGTGAATGAAGCGCGGGTTTTCCTCCCTACACGGTGCGTTTACGGCAATTGACTGGCAAGTCGGGAAGGTCCTTGATGTGCATCTAGCTTCCAAGTACTGCCATGGCTTCAGCTTGTGGAAAGCTCGCCAGGCGCATAGTGAAGTCACAGCTGACGAGTATGAGAAGTGGAAGTCGGGCCATATCCCTCTCTGCAACCGCACCTGGCGTTTTTGCAGAACGCCAGCTCATGTTGGATAGTATTAGAGTGGCCAAGGCTGAGAAGAAGATGAAGCAGGAGGAAAAACAGCGAAGGAAACAAAGGAGGAGGTGCAGGAAGGGAATTGAGGAGCAGATTGTGGAAGCTGAGGGTGTCACATACGAGGCTGGTGGGTTTTAGTTGGAACAATAGTCTTAGAATCTATGAAAAGGACACCTAAATGTTTGCGCTTTTTGGCCTTTTTCTGCCTTCTTGGACATGATTGCGGCTAGTGTGTTTATTTTAGACCTATCAGCCCATACATTTTTGGAATCAGTGACTTGTTGCGCAGGGATTGAACTACAATGGTGATCATAGGACCTTTTACATTGGATTTTGAGCTCCCACAGTGCCTTCTATTTTACGCGTTTTGCGGCTCGTCCTGTTTTGTCTCTGCATTTGGGGTAGTAATACCTGTCAGATAGAGTTCATTGTAGTTCATTCCCTGCATAGGCATATGGACTGGGTTTTGCTGCATTTTGGAACTGTCTGTGTTGATACATCTTGCTGCAAAGTTGTCCAAAAAAATTGCTGTTTGTGCGCACCCGTGAAGAATTTGTGTAGCCCATCAAGCATTACTGGGATGAACTGTAAATTCTCTTTTTGGTGCCTACATTGTGGAGCAGTATATAGTGATTGAACATAGAAAATTTGAAGGCAATCTGCCAATCCGTTTTCATGATATGTCTATTTCAATTGTATGCGGTCTGATATGGGCTGCGAATGGTGGTGTCCCCCCTTAAGTATTAGTAAAATCAGTTATCATAGTTTTCATGATTCTAAATTAGGCCTTGACGGATTATGCTAATATTTTCGTGAAATTATGCTTTTCGCATTGCTGAAAAAATTGCCGAATTATGCTATTTTTATGCTAAAAGTTATCAAATTATGCCGCATTATGCTGCACATTTGCGACGAAACACCACAGCACTAGCCAACTTGGTTTCGCAAAAAAACATGCATGACGACTAGCGCAAGAGCTTTTTTTGTAGAGGGCGTTGTACTGAGTAGCAAAAGTTCAACGGGGTCAACGCACCGTCCGACCTAGCTACGACCGTCACCATGGTCACTGATTGTAGTGGACTGGACATGTTATCAGGGGAGTCGTAAACCTACGACTTCCTGGTGCATCTACTTGTACTTGTACTTGTAGGACATGTGCAACTGTATGGAATTTGATGCGAACAGGCGGATTATTCCAATTTATGCGATTCGTATGCAATTTGCCTCGAATTATGCGATTATTCGATTTTGGTAGGAATTATGCGAAACATTATGCTAGCATAATCCGTCAAGGCCTATTCTAAATTCTGCACTTCCAAGCACTTCCTTGCTCCATTTCTTTATCCACATACCAAACATGCATGAAACATACCAGAAAAATGCCAAGATCTGCCAACTGCCGGCATTATCCGCAAGAGTTTTAGTTCGAGGTGGCAGCTGCGGAGAGTGTTGTATTGACTCCCATGGATTTTTGCTATACCTACACTGTACATGTAAGAAAGGTTTGCTCCCCACACCGGAGCTCGCGCTATTCCGCCGACTTTACTTGACACTTGACTGACTCACGGCTGCCATCCAGAGCACACGAGAAGTCCATCGAACCTTCCACTCGGCAAACCTGCAAGAAAGCACCACTCCCTGCTCAATACACAGTGTTTCGGGGAATTCACCCCTCATCAGTTGAGCTTGAGTAGGCTGAGGAAGATTGTGCCTGAAGAGCACCACTTGTATAGTGCTCTCCAGGCACAAACATCACCAGGGATACAAACTTACAGAGACGCTCCACTTCCAGCGCGACAGACACCTCGTGAACACCAGATAGCAGCGTGAGTCAGTGTCGCTCCTGGACGGTGAGACAGACGTCGAGGACCCTCGGTCATTCGCAACGCTGTCACCTCCAAACCAACTAGTCGCAAGCCCGCGCTGGGCACAACAGTACGAAGTAGTGGTTGCGACTTCGGCGACTTCAAGCTCAACTGATGAGGGGTGAATTCCCCGAAACACTGTGTATTGAGCAGGGAGTGGTGCTTTCTTGCAGGTTTGCCGAGTGGAAGGTTCGATGGACTTCTCGTGTGCTCTGGATGGCAGCCGTGAGTCAGTCAAGTGTCAAGTAAAGTCGGCGGAATAGCGCGAGCTCCGGTGTGGGGTAGGCCTTGACGGATTATGCTAATATTTTCGTGAAATTATGCTTTTCGCATTGCTGAAAAAATTGGAGAATTATGCTATTTTTATGCTAAAAGTTATCATATTATGCCGCATTATGCTCACATATGCTGCTAATGCATAATGGTTCTGTGCAAAATAACAGGGGAATTTTTTGTAGAGGACGTTGTACTGAAGCAGCAAAAGTTCAACGGGGTCATGACGTCAACACACCGTCCGACCGGTCCTCGACCTAGCTAGCTACGACCATCACTGATTGTAGTGGACTGGACATGTTATCAAGGGAGTCGTAAACCTACAACTTCCTAGTGCATCTACTTGTACTTGTACTTGTACAACTGTATGGAATTTGATGCGAACAGGCGGATTATTCCAATCTTATGCGATTCGTATGCAATTTGCCTCGAATTATGCGATTATTCGATTTTGGTAGGAATTATGCGAAAAATTATGCTAGCATAATCCGTCAAGGCCTAGTGTGGGGAGCAAACCTTTCTTACAAATCATCGCCGAAGTCGCAACCACTACTTCGTACCTACATGTAAGCAGTCAAATATTCCTGCATATTTCACCCCTTAGGGCTGCTTATATTTGACTCCTTTTTAGGGATTGAACACATGCTTTAGTTAGTCGTGATAAACCTAATATAGTATTGACTTCGTGCTTGGTCAGTATAGGAAATAAAAACCTCCGCTTCGCCTCGGTCGTTTTACTAGTACTCGGCTTTTATTACCTCGTACTCAGTCAACATTACATACGTACATATTTGAGACTACACGTACACGTACACGTACACGTACATGTACATGTACAGGATAATGTCCTGCACATGCATGCAATGGCCAAGGGGTGGCAAGGAGACGTACGCAAGCACACCATGCGTAGCAACCTGTCCAAAACAATCTCGGTTCGCGTGAGACTAGGCCGGCTGGAACTGGAAGCGGAGTTTTCCGCATCCCCATATCCTCTGACCTCAGGAACGCCACCACCCTATAGCCTATCTCAGTATCTGTCCAAATAGGGTATAAATCGTGACTACAACTGTCTACACTACAGTACATGTACATGTAGTACAGTCATGATCATAGATTCATACTCAACAAGTACGCAACAACTAGGACACCCATACGCTGACATTCACTGGCTCAGACATGTCGACAGACTACAGCCTCTAGTCTGAAGGCGACGGTATACCATGGTATACCGCGTACGCGGTCCTGACAGTCTGTAGTGTAGGTGGTGGTCCCGGCCGGCCCACGTTACTTCCATACCAACACCGAAATCGCGAAGGCGGCGCACTAAGGACAGTAAGGGTTTACTAAGGCCCAGTTAGCCTTAGGGTTTTTGCAGATTCAAATCCTGCTTAGTCTAGGAATGGATGAAGTCAAGGGAAGAGTCTACAGTCACTCAACTAAAATTATTATTATTACAGTTTTACTGTCTGTAGTTCTACTGGGAGTGCGACTGGCGATGGCCTTTGACTACCGTAACTAAGTAAGTACATGTACTACTAGTAAGTTACTTTCTTCCAAAGTAATGCCCCTTGCCTTGGCCTTGTCCATGATACATGTACAATGACCTGTACAGACTCAGTGCACTCCGCTTCCTTTTATCCGCTGACTGTTGTGAATTGTTCTTACAGTCTAGATCTGAAAGTATGTACAGTATCAAGCCAAGGACTCGAAGAGTCGAAGGAGTCATGAAAGCGCTGCTTTCAAGACTGTCTCCACCCCTACTGCATTCCGCAACAAAGCTCGTCACCTCAGTTCTCAACTGTCTTGTCACCTAGCCACAACGTGACGGTACATACACAACACTATCCATACAAGTACATGATGAAGGCGTGCATGTGAGCGTGTGCGGAAATATTCGTATTTTGATACTGACTTTGAGCAGGCAGCGCAGCGGATCGGAGGCACTCGGCTCTTACATCACCGAACTGGGGCATGCCTATTGCCTACTAGTAGAGAAACTGCCTGTTTGCGACAAGGGTACATATTACTAGTACCACAACTCACAAGTGACAAGGCAGTAATCTGGTGCTACTATTATCTTGATTATTACTACGGGTGACTACAATGTCATAATCATTGTGCCCAATCCTGTACTAGCAGTAGTCATAATCGTCATTGCACATACATGATTTTAAATACAGATCTACATCATATACATGACCATGATGACTGGGCCTGGTGACTGGCCTGAGAGTGAGAGATAATGAGCCTGTAGCGTAGGCTGTGTAGATCTACTCTCAAGTGTGTATGTGTTATCGGAGTGCCGGCCATGTCAGGGCAGAAGCTTCACCGCGGGTGTTTGTCAGTGTGCTTCCCAAGCAGCTGGATTCCAAACTCGGTCCTAGCGAGTTGTGTGTGCCGCGCTGCGATTCCTGTGTACCCGAGGCTAGCTACCAAAAGACTTCAGACCCGTGTTCGGCCATGCTTCGGATGCTCGGACGAATCGACGATGCTTCGTTCATTCAGCTACAGCTACTACTAGCTATCAACAGAGAACGAATATCACGTCGGATTCGTCCGTCAGTGAAGGCATCCGCTCGCTGTCCTGAATTGTCTTGCTGTGCTCCCAGGAAAAACTGTGCGGAATGTGGCTCGCCACGGTGCCAGGGCTCGGAGTTGGGAAAGGAGCACACCCTGACCTTGCGTGAGAGAAGTCGGCACAAAGAGCTGTGGAAAAAAGCAACCTTACGCTTAGCCCTTATCTTCCTGCGCAACTCGCATCATGTTGCAGACTGGTGGTGGTGATGCCAAATCACCTGTTTCACCCGGACCCTGTCCGATTCCTGAAGTGTCCCGCTGGCTACTTACGAATGTCCACCTACACGAAAAGGATGTCCTTGAGCGGAGAGCGGCGTACAGCATGATTGCGGCAACATGGAGATTGGAAAGTGTGTCGGTGAAAATTGCGGCTGAAAACGCCGATCTGGCCAGTCGTCCTTTGGATGATCCGGCAACGAGAAAGCAGCTTGTCATGGCCGTCGCTTCCGAGGCGGCCTTCTTGTCCTCCTTGCGCCATGATCGAATCGTTCATTTGTACGGGGTGATGCAACATCCTAAGAGCGGTTTGCCGTGCTTAGTGCTAGAAAGACTGTATGAGAGTGTGGAACAAAGACGTCGCAGAGGCGCAGCAGTGATGACGCTGAAAGACATAGTGGACGTGAGCATGAACATCTGTGATGCACTGTACTACCTGCATCACGAGTTCAAACCTGCCGTTGCACACAGGGACTTGTCTTCAAAGACCGTACTACTGACTGGCACGGGTCAGGCAAAGCTTGGTGGACTCTCTTCGGCACGTGCTCTTGCCGGCAAGCAACCAGCGACCAAACTGCCAGGCGCTGATGAGTACATGCCCCCGGAGACAGCTCTCGGTGATATGCCGGTGTATAGCACAAAGATTGATAACTTTTCCATCGGTGTGTTGATGATAGAGTTGGTGGTGAACAAGCCTCCGACACCGAAGGGAAGGTTTATCAGCAAGGCCCGAGGCGTCGCCATTGTGCCGGAAATCAAGCGGCGAGCCGAAGAGCTAGCCATGGTGAAAGATACACAGCCGCGTATGCTGCCCGTTATTCAACTGTGTTTGCAGGAGGAAAAGAGAAGACCAAACTCTATTGAGCTGGACGCGGCCTTGAAGAACGTCCAGTCCACCATTGATTACCTGGAGTCCAGGTTCACGTTGTGCGAGTCAACCTCACCACCGGCGTACGACTGCGCTGCTGGTCCATCTCGTGTCGAGGGCTCCAAAAGTCCACCGAAGCCACAGCGAAGTTTTCCAATGCTGCTCAGGCCGCGACCTGTTGCCTTGGAGAAGCCGTCACCGCGCACCTCCAATTCTTCCCTCACGGCTTCAACGACTGACGAAATCACCTACGACGCACCCTGCGATACCCTGGGAGACGGCGATGGCTACTCCAAGATCGACAACTTGGCCAACGTTGACAAAGGCTATTCAAAGATTGATGGCCTGGCTTTGACAATTGACGGTACCGTACGAAACTGTGTCAGTCCGGATGACGATAGCCCAAGTGAATGGGACTCAGAATCACCGACCTATGACTCAGTGGATGAAACAGACCTGGACAAGATAGTCGGTAGGAGGCGTTCCAGGCGAGGAAGGGGCGGCGCGAATACAAGCCAGCAGCCAGTGGAAAGCACTAGCGTGGATGAGCTTGCGTACGAAGATGGATACCGGGTGCCGGCAGATTGCAAGTTGGATGGATACTTTCCGACTCCTGATGATTCTGATCATGTCTACCAGGACGTGGCGGTAGAACACACTAGTAATCCAAAGAAGAACAAGGTGAGCATCGCATATTCCTACCACAGTGGTATTTTCATTCCAAAGTCAATGTCGTCTATCTACTGTGAAAAATGTAACTTCATGTGAGTCGTGGGGGGGGGGGGGGGCAGGAAACAGGAGCTTGGCTCCATATTCAGAAGTGGACTGCTTTGTGTCTGGTTTGTATCTTCCTTGCACATGACCCATTACCTGGGAATAAGGGCCATGTTTGCCGATATCTGTAGTCATGAGTGCAGATAACGGAGGCTGTATTTCTCTCGTGCAAGGCCAATACTAGTAGTTTAGCCAAGCGCAAAGGTAAAATGGAGTACACTATTTTTCTCCAATCAGTACGGGAAAATGAACTTTCGCTTGGAGTATCAAAAACATACTGGTCACTGTGCAAGATCTTCGATTGGTTGGATTGGCTCAGCAACAATCATGTGGCATACTGCACGATTTCAAATACCATCCGAAGCGTTCTAGGTCCTTTCCGGATGTACATTTCACATTAGCCACTATAGGCTATGCACATTTACACCATGCGGAATCAAATTCTGCGTGAGAATCTGTGTTTGCCCAGTGTACTGCCAGTTTGCTGTGCGGACACTTCCCACCATTTCCTAACCGGTGTGTTGTACTTTGTGATTGTAGCCGAGAGCCAAGAAGCCAGTAGGAACCTCAATAAGCAATCCGACCTATGCCAACAATGCTGCCGTGTCCAAACACAAGTATGAAGAGATACCCAATGTGTCAGATCTGATGATCAAATCAAGCGACGGAGCAATCTCAGCTCCCCTTCCTCCTTTGGCCATGAAGTTCCATAGTCAACTGCAGCCCAATGACCAGTCGCCTGGCAAGAAGGAAGCCAAAGCAGCGCAAATCCCTGATACCAGCACCATTCCGTCGTCAGCCAGCACCAATCGCTACGTGACTGCCCCATGGACACAGCAAATAGCGGCGCATAGCTTCACAGCCAGCAAGCCCGAGCAAGCGAAATCCTCGCCTTCAGGAATTCGTCGAGCATCAGATGGTGACAGCAATCACCACCACCATCCTCCCCACCATCAACACCATCACCAGCAGGGACCTCCTTTACCTGGTGGGGAGACTAATGTCACTTCAAGGCATGTCTCGTTCGACGTGAATGCAGTCAGCACAGATTATGAAACTCCAGAGGCTGAGCTATTGGAGAAGAAACCAGTTCCACCGCGACCAGCTAAGACCCGTTCCAACCCAGATTTGTCCACATCAGCACCCCGCCGCCCACCCTCTACCGAATCTCCAAAACGTGTTCCAAAACGCCCAGTGAGAACCGTACCTACCAGTCCACCATCACAAGCTGAACCAAACTCCGATGACGATTATGAACACCCCGGAACACCTGGCATGTCACTCGTGTCGATGGACGGATCTCCTATCCCAGGCAGTGTCATTCATGGTATGTCTTGTGATGACCTACCACCACCGCCGACCTCTCCACCCATGCTACAGCCAGGCCTCAAGTCTCCGTCACGCAGTCATAGTGCTCTCATGACACTACCGCCCGTGGCTGAGCAACAAGGCAGCCATGGCAGCCATGGCAACCATGTAAACCACGGTAGCCATGGCAGCTCACACAGCCATGGCACAGTCACTGGTCATGGTGCTCATAGTCATGGAGTGGCGCATCATCATGCTCGACCATCGGCTGTACCACCACAAGTGCGGAGTCCGCCGACGCGACGCTACTCCAGTGATGATGTCATCAAGTCCAGCCCTGCAAATCACCATGAGTCACATAGAGCAGCCACTGACAGCGGCGACTGGTTCCACGGGCCATTGTCGCGAGAGTAAGTCTTGCATAAAGATCATTGACACTGTCATCACGCACTCAGTTACACAGTTGATGCGAGTCTTGTCTGTCCCAAACCGGTAATTACTTTGCCATCTACTAGTACATTCATTTACTTGGAATTCTCGGCTCTGATTTAGCAAACATCGAGCAATGAATGTAGCCAACCAATGTAATGCTCCTCTCTCTCCATCTCTCTCTCTCCATCTCTCTCTCTCGCTCTCTCTCTCTCTCGCTCCCCCTCTCTCTTTCTCTATGTTGCTTTCTTGCCTGCGATCATGCAGAGAGGCCGAGGAAAAGTTACGGACTACAGCTGTTGGCTGCTTCCTTGTACGCAGCGGCCGCACTCATGCTGGCTTCACAATATCATGGAGGTGAGTGGGGTTGAGTCAAAATAATACCCTGTAACCAGGCGCGTGCGCCGGTGCCCTTCAAGGGGGGTTCGGGGGGCCTGCCGCAGGAAAAATTTCAAAACATGAAGCAAAATCCTGCATTTTAAGCGAAAAAAGGGGGTTCCGGGCACCCAGGAACCCATACGGGGCACGCGCCTGGTAACTTGCACATACTATACCATATGCATGTGCCATGTACCATAATACATTTTCGCGTATACCGTGTGCTTGAGAGGCATGCAGCAGCCTATGAGCTGCAGTGTGCTCCGATAATACTGAAGTAGTCGCAATGTCACATTTCGGTTTGTACTTGTTGCCATGAAATGAAAATTCGTGGTATGGACTGCAGGGGAGCAGGGGAGAGTTTGGCCCAAAATAATTGATCTGATGTACTCCTCAGGTTACAGAGCGCTGTATTTCCGGAGACGTTTTTTCATGTTTTTCTTGTGTAATGTCTGAAACATGCGAGTGGTCCATGACTAAGTTCAGTTTTCTCACCTGAAACAGAACAATCAACTGTTGCAATGCTAAGCTTTACTTCTGTGCGTGTGTATGTGTATGTGTGTGTGTCTTTTCTGTGTGTGTGTGTGTGTGTGTGTGTGTGTGTGTTTCTGTGTGTGTGTGCATGACTGTGTTTGTGTTTTCTCTAGGTCAGCGCAGGCTGGCAAGGCAGTCAAGCATGTGATTGTTGATCAGCCGCGGCCTGGCGTATTTCAGCTAAGACACTCTCTGACTGTGTACTCGTCCATGGAAGACTTGATAAGGCATCACAGAATGGTGAGTACATGAGCAGCGTACACGTCCAACACTAAATTGTATACAGAAACTCTGTTCACCTAGCCCTGGGTAGAAGAACAAGAAAAGTAAATGACTACTTGTACAGGAAAACCTTGCCCGAGTTACTCAGTTGAACTGCCATCCAATGAAATAGCCTAGCATGATTTTGGATTTTTTAAATCTTTCATATGAACATGCCCCATTACACTCAATACATTTGGTGCCACAAGCAAATGATCACACAGACCAGTTGGCTACTGACAGCACTTAGGTCGTTGCTTGACCAGCTTTCACCTCTCCTTTGAGGCTTAGAGGTTGTTGTACACCTTTGGGCAGTGATTGTTTGTAAAAAAATTGGCTTTGTGTTCATTTTGCAGGAGCCGCTCACCAATGTTGTCAGTGATGTTCTTGGAGCGGGGGTCAGCCCGTAACACAACTACATGTACATGTACGTTCTCTTGCTCTCTTTTCGTCTTGCCATCAACTCCAGAACACATGCATGTGCATGTCCTGTGTTATGTTGGTCAATATCTACGGAATGCCGTATCTTTTTTACTCTCAAGTTCCCCTTGTGCACGGTGCCTGCTTTGGTTCTTTTGGTTTTCTTTGACATTGGTCCTGCACAGGGCAGTGCAGATAGCGTATACCGTTTCAGTATGATGGTGATAATACAGATACAGATAATACGCACGCGTGTGCCAAGTATGCCCCATGAAGTTATATGGAACTGGGAAGGATTCTCTTTCTATTCAGTTTATACATGGAGGATGTAAATTCATAGCTTTGTACAATGTTTCGCACTCGACTGAGTGTATCAACCGGTGAAGCTGTCCTGCGTTTCACAGTACCTGCGTCTCCAAGGTGATACTTCTGCACACACACCGTCCTCTGCCGCCTTATAATTTTCAACTCCTTGATTTACGCTGAGTAAGGATGAAATATCATGGTTGTATCGTCCATACTGCTTGGCATCCTGATGCTGTCACAGATTAAAATATATTTGAACACCCGTTGCATTTTGAGCTAGTTTTCCACTGGATCAGCGGATCTTCTTGTCTGCAATCAGTAGGAACAGCATTGCTGTCGTCACACAGTCGTTTCTAGCCAGTCTCTGACAGGTGTGCACATTGTATATAGAGCTGCCCTGGGACCCAATCAGCCCCGGACTGGCCAAGCCTGGTGGCCAGACTTCCAAACACAATCATGCAAACTCTCTGAAAGAAATATAATTTGCCTGCATGACCAGTCGGAAGTTCCCAGAGTCAATGATCTTAATGTTGCATTACGTTGTGCTGGGACTCTCTCCTTGGATGCAGTACTCTGATATTGCACGCAGCTGCACTAGGCTCTAGTATGGTTATTTCAACTGATTTGTTTGTTGTTGCTGAAGAGGAACAAGCAGGGAGCAGCGACGTGACACATCATGCATTACAGCGAACGAGTAACCGTGGCAATTTCCCACTCATTGTGCTAAATATCATGCATGCAGTTTCCCCATGCTTACATGCGTCCATGCTAAATTAGCATTCACCAACTGAACTTGCCCCTCGCCCCCACTGTTAGGCAATGCGTCTGCCTCTGGTTTCACCGGATGTTAGCGGCCGTCGTGAGTTCCCAGGCCATATGGTGATGACTTGCTAACGTTCTAAGTACTAAGTGTGTTTTTGGAAATACCGTGATGTACGCTACATCGTGATACTGTGTTCTCATACGAGTAACTTAGTCCATCTGTCTTCACTTCACAATCATTAGATTTTTCTTTGTGTGCTGTGCTGTAGTACAAGATATTAGTGAGTATTCAGTGGGTATTGACCGTTCTAGATGGCAGGACCCATGTACTCAAAATCCAAGAAAAAAAAGAAGAGAGAATCTATAAAAAATATGTCTAGGTCGCTGATGTGCAATATGCTACATCTACATTCTCAAAGTAGAATGATCAGCAAAAGAACAGGCATGGTAGCAAGCCCATCGTCATTTTTGTTATACAAAAAAGCATGATAACAGTTTTAGTCTGAAACGGCAGAAGGAGAGAGAGAGAGAATGTGTGTGTGTGTGTGTGTGTGTTGTGTGTGTGTGTGTGTGTGTGTGTGTGTGTGTGTGTGTGTGTGTGTGTGTGTGTGTGTGTGTGTGTGTGTGTGTGTGTGTGTGTGTGTGTGTGCATCATGGAATGAATGATCAAGTGGACGATAAGCATTTGTCCAATCGGCGGTGAGAATTTTGGTAGAGAAAGTCAGTTGTAATTATTTCGTAATGCTGAATTCTTGCAATGCAAGATCTGCATTAGCAGCAAGGTCTATGTAAGCATCCTGATTGACTCAAGACACTGAGAGGTCTAACAAATACATGACAAACAAGATTGCACTCTTCCGTCGGCCGAACTTAGCCAAGCTTTGAAATAGCTTGGTTACATTCGGCCGGCGGAAAAGCGTGGCCCCGGTGTTGCGTGTTCCTATGAAATCATTGCGGCGATTGGCTACCACTATCGCGTACATTCTGTCCACATTGTGTACCTTATTTCGGCTTGTACTCAACACAATTGCTGATTCAAACGCAGCACACGGTGTACATTAGGGTGTGTTGCGGCTGCAAGGCACCCAGTGTCCCTCCTGTCCAGGTCTTTTCACAGCTACTCATCTTCACCGTCTTCCTCACCGAACTCTTCATCGTCGCCCAAGTTGTCGTCGGACTCCAGCTCTTTTGCCACCTTCTTTTTATGTTTTTGACCTGCTCGAGTTGATTTGCCTCCTGTTTTTGTATCATCTTTGTTGTCATCATCGGGCTCCTGGTTCTGTTTCTCTTCGTACATCTTTTCATTCTCTTTGTCTTTGCGCGTCGTCTCAATTCCGGTATACTTGATTAGGTCATAGCGGTGGTTGAAACCATCCTGGAGAAACTGGCGAACCTGCATGAGAAGCAAAGCAGCAGATTGCAATGTTGGTTCTCTGCCTCTCCCTCTCCAGTGCGGCACCATGCAAAAATCATTCGAACTAAATAACTTTAAAAACCAAAAGACACATAAGAACGAGAACGATGTTTACTTGGAATTCGTCGTAACAACCTGCAGCTTCATAACTCGAGAGAAGTGATGAGCAGACATGCTCTTTCCCTGGGCACTGCTAAGTCACATCTCAGTTCATACATGTATTATCATTTTTCGACGTTTCGTCAAATTGCCATCATCAGGATGCAAGATTGTGTTCTCACCACTTCTCTTTGATAATAAAAGCTCAGAAAAATCATTAAATTTCTGCTCATGCGCGAGTCTTGCTGCTGAATAGCTGATTCCACATTACTCCACATGGGAAAAACTAAGGTGTTCTCATGCAGTCTTCATAGGTGATGTGTGAGATATGTTACATGCTAATACATACACTACAAGTCTTGACTCTGCAGAAGATCTGGCAGTGCAGCGGCTACGAATGGCTATTGATTAGCTTATGCTCAATCAACGGCGGGATGGAAGTCTCATATGTTAAAGGGGAAGTTAAGGCTAAAACCAAAATTTCACCAGTTGTAGTCTTCGGGGTGCGGAGTCGAATGGTCGTGGTCCTAGGAAGCTGAGACGCTCCCTTCCTACTTTAATCCCAATCGAAATCGCGCACTTCGACCGAAACTGGGTGACTGCGCCTACTAGATGGGGATTTGTATGGAAAATGTCACTAAAAGCGCCATTTCGTTCTTATAAAAGCACTGATAACCGCGATTGGCCCATATTTTGTAGTCTTTTGGAAGCTGAGTCGACTGGTTTTGGTCCGAAAAGGCTGCGATGCAGCGTTCCTCCTTTATTCCCAATCGAACATGGTTGAACAAGCGGTCACGTGCTCCTGCGTACCCAAGTCACCTGGTCACAGCGCCAGCAGGCGACAACTTTCACACCAAGGTTCAACTCGAGTGACAGGACTGCACCCAAAAAAGTCAAACAGGCTGTAAGTTGTACCCTGCAGGCACGGCCGGGGTACGGTGACCAGGTGACTGGTGTACGCATGAGCACGTGACCGCTTGTTCAAGCATGTTCGATTGGGAATAAGGGCCGAGCGCTGCATCGCAGCCTTTTCGGACCAAAACCAGTCGACTCAGCGTCCAAAAGACTACAACATATGGGCCAATCGCGGTCATCCGTGCTTTTATAAGAACGAATTGGCGCTTTTAGTGACATTTTGCATACAAATCCCCATCTAGTAGGGTGCAGTCACCCAGTTTCGGTGGAAGTGCGCAAGTTCTATTGGGATTAAAGTAGGAAGGGAGCGTCTCAGCTTCCTCGGGCCAAGACCGTTCGACTCAGCACCCCGAAGACTACAACTGGTGAAATTGTGATTTTAGCCTTAACTTTCTTTTTAACACTTTATAAGCAAGACAATGTCTTGTCATAATACATATTTTTGATAAGTAAGTTGCACGCTAAGCCGCCATCCTCAGACAGTCCCTGGAAACTAGCATGATGGCAATGAACTCTGAGTTGCAGCAATTTTTCCGACTTCTATATTAGAGCTCTCTACCCGCAGGCACCAGTGATCACTGTGATTTGGCCTACTGTGTATTTGAGCAACACGTATTCAGTATCGTACAAGCTAGTTTCTCACCACAATTCACTGAGACCCCTACCATCACACTTGTGGCTCCCACGTAAATACCCGAGGTGTGTTCACGACACCCTGTGAATAACCGAGTTGTGTTCACGACACCCTATGAATACCCGAGTTGTGTTTACGACACCCTGAATCAGACTTACCCGAGAGTGACCAGCGCTTTGTACAATCAGCGACTCTACATCATTGACCAACAGTAGGTCCCATATCTCATCTAACTTATACGTGTCTGGGGGAAGCTTGAGTGTGCTGAGACGAAACATGTCCTCGGGCAAATCATCATCAGCCTTAGCAGCTGCTTCCTCTTCTTCCCTCTTTGTTTTCTGGTCTTTGTCTTGAGGTTTTGGGGGAACAGCTGGCTTGGTAAGGGCAGTATCGTTGTCTCCAAACCAGAAGTTCATCGAGACCGTCATACTGAGAAGGGGGACAGGAAAGCAGAAAATGGCAGCACGGAACAGTGTGAAGAATACAGACATGCGGAATGGTTGTCATTGTGGGGCCAACATGCTCTCACTGAGTGTTGTTCGGAAGGTGTAACAAAAACAATTTAAACAATTGAATGGTGGCCTGTTGCCTAGAAACACATTTGTGACCAGCACACAAACATCAATACAACTTTGAGGCGTGTATGCAACATGCGACCAATGATAAGTGAGCAGAAGGAGCTCGGTACGCAGCAAAATTCCGTCCAGTTAAGCATGCTCACCTGTCCATCTCACTTTCAAAGTGATGATACCAGAATGTAGGGATGAATAGAACATCACCAGGTCCAATGATCACCTCTATGCCCTCGCTCTCCACGAACCGCGGGAATACGGATAAATTCGGATGGTCAAAATCAATCTGAAGCCGACATAAATATACAGAGAGAGAGAGAGAGATAGAGAGAGAGAGAGAGAGAGAGAGAGAGAGAGAGAGAGAGAGAGAGAGAGAGAGAGAGAGAGAGAGAGAGAGAGAGAGAGAGTTACATTTATTCCCGTAGCTATGCAGAAGACGTTACTTCAGTAACGTCTGGCGCTAGCCAGGGTCCACACAGCTTTAATTTGGTATTTGTGTGTTTGTTTGTTTGTTTGTGTCACGCCTGGCGCTATCCCGTATCTGTACCGTACTGTACCGTACCAGCAAAGACAGCTGGCTACTATATGTTTGTTTGTTTGTGCCATCGACATGCCTGGCGCTATCCCGTACCTGTCCCGTACCATCAAGAGTACGGTACCATCAAGAGAATGAGTATATATGCGAAGTGTATCGGGGGAATGCATTCAGTGCAGTAACATTTTGTGTGGATTTGTGTGCGAGGTCGAGATCCCACTAGCAGGCTGGCTGGGCCGCCTGTCGACCAGCCCGGGGATCGCATGTAGGCTGATAGCATAATAATTATAACGTATCAGATTGAGTAATTATAACGTATATATTATACAGTCATGTAGATCTATAGCAGGGAGTCATATTATGTAAACGACTCCCTGCTGTATGGGGAGATTTTCTGAAAAAAATACGAAGTAGGGAGACGAGTAAATGCAATCAGAAAATCTCCCCATACAGCAGGGAGTCATATTATGTAAACGACTCCCTGCTGTATGGGGAGATTTTCTGAAAAAATACGAAGTAGGGAGACGAGTAAATGCAATCAGAATGGATGTTAGTTGCCGTCAGTATAATAATAAGAAGAAGAAGAACGCCCGTGATCGGCAGAGTCAGCGCCGGTCCCAGGAAACGTCAGGACAGACATCCCGTCGACTCCAGAACGCCCGTGATCGGCAGAGTCAGCGCCGGTCCCATAGCTATGCAGAAGGCGTTACTTGTACTTCAGTATCTCATTGAAACGTTTTTGCAATACAATGATGTAGCTAATCAAAGGAAAAAGCATTTCCATCAGTTCTAACAACATGCACGATGAGCTAGGCAACAAAGCATAGCGCAGGGCCCTGAGCTTCCAAGTTCTCTCGTAAAGACAGGTAAGTCTAACAAATGAGGACTGAGACCTCTACAACAGGGTTTTTACGCCTGAAAGCAGGTGCATGATTTAACAAGCAGGTTGTCAGTCTAGATTTTTAAGCGCAGATGGAGAAAAAGCGCAGATTTTTTGTAATGAGATGAAAAGCAGAAATAATAAGAAATAATAAGAAAAGATGAAATGAAAGCCTGCTCACAACCCCGCGAGAGAGAGAGAGAGCGAGAGAGAGAGAGAGAGAGAGAGAGAGAGAGAGAGAGAGAGAGAGAGAGAGAGAGAGAGAGAGAGAGAGAGAGAGAGGGGGGGGGGGGGAAGGGATATAAAGGGAAGAGAGGCTGTAAATATGTGTTGGTTGCTGTCTGATGGTTTCATATAATATGCATGACCATACAACTTACAGTCGCAATGCTATTTCCTTCGTGTCCGACATTGTGTTGCACTGAGCTCTTACTACCGATGACATTTGAGCGCATACTAGGCTAGATGAAGTACAGTGTAGTCATACCCAATGCAAGTCGAGATTGTAACGTCTTGTATACGTGACTTGTCAAATACCCGCCGTGTGTACTACTGTCGTGGACATGGAAATCCATTCGATTGACCGGGCTCGGTGCCCTCAGCGCGTACAAAACGTTGCACGCAGTGCACAGTCTAGTCATGTTGATCGGATGCGCGCATGCGACCAGCGCGCTGCAGCACATTCTTATGTGTGTACCATGTGTCCTGCTTACCCACGGCTGCTTGGCCAGCGCCCTGGGCCCTGGGGCCGCTAGACGTGCGACCGGATTTCTACGTCCACAACAGTACTTTTAATGAAAGGATCAATCCCCAGCCCCCCCCCCCCCCCCAGCCCCCCCCCCCCCCCCCCGCCGCCAAAATGTTTGTATGCACAGCGCAGATCTTACGCACTTACCTGGGTCTGGCGTTCATTTGGATGTCCATGTGGATATGGGTACATTGTCTTGAAGTGACCCGGTGAAAACAGGATACAGCGCTTGAAACCATGAATCTAGAAAAGAGTTTCGAAGAACATCAAGTGACAAGCTCTTAGTTAGTGTCGCACTATCTATGCCCTATGTAGCCTTCTTTGGTCAAACATAGGAATTGTGTTGTTTGTGGTTTATTATTATTATTATTATACCCATTCCCGCGTTGAAGTGTAGCAGCAGTATGCTGCGTTCACAGCTTCGCTTATGCAGAATGGCTTGGGTGAGAGGAGAGGGGAGAAAAAGCAACAAGGCAACCAACATCTGTGGAATAGGTCACAATAACAAGACGTGTTTGTGGTTTGGCGAGATATATTACATGTGGTCCTGACTGCCTCGAATAGCGACACACACACACACATGCACACGCACACACACATGCATACACCCACACCCACATACCCCCCCCCCCACACACACATGCATACACACACATGCGCCCCCCCCCCCCCCACACACACACATGCATACACACACATACAAACACACACACAAACACACACACACAGACACACACACACACACTGAGCGGCCAAGCCTTGCTGTTTCTGGCTGTTGTAGTTTTGAATTGATTCACGCTCTTAGATCACGCGTAGCCTTAAAATTCTCGCCATGTTCTCTGAGTGGAATGTAATTCAATATCGAGATCAAAAAGACTTGTTTAAGGTATTTGATGCTATCCCTCCCCCCCCCCCCCCTCTCTCTCTCACACACACACACACACACACACAGTAGCATACGCTAAATACCGTCCCGCGCTATTAGGTCTCTTTAGCGTAGCCCAGAATACCGGAGCTTGCTCACACAAACACATCTCGTACTTGAGAATATATAGACAATTACGTTTCTGAAGTTGGGTTGGTGTGTTATTGAATAGCCGAACGCGTTACTCGCAACGCTGGGTATTTTCACTCCACGTACATACTGGCAGACACAGAGACATAGACACCAACAGCAATAGCGACGGCACACAAATTGGAGGGTAGCTGGCCGCAGCCAGATGTGCAGAAGTGTCACTGGCAATGCTAGGTCACCTGAACATACATTTACTTAGGCTAGTACCTGAGCAAAGAGGTTCTGTAAGCCGTCGTAATGTGCCGGTGTGACAACATTGGGCATTCCCAGGATGAACAGATTCGTGCTCAGCTTTCCCCAGTGATCTGGTTTGAGTCTGTCGATCCACTTCCAGTTGAAGTTTTCGTAGTCCAGTCTCATCTGCGGGCCTTGTGCTATTTCTTCCAGTGCAGACTGGTGGGGTTAGAGAACAGCAACAAAGTAACCAGAATACCATACAATTTTAGCAGCTTGGAGATACATAATTCTTGGCAAATTGGATTTAAGTCAATCTGGAGATTGGTATCATGTTTTAGTTCTCCTGTAGTTCTTCCCAAAAAGCCAGCTTACCAGCTTGACCATGCACGATGGAATTGCATATTAAAAGGGTATCTCAGGAAGTTTCGCTTGAAGATAGACAGCACACAACTGTCACGGTAAATGGAATCCAGAATTACAGACAAAGTGGGAACAACCAACGTTTTTCATGCAGTGACCTCCAACATTTCAGTTATCTCATGGGCCCTCTGTTACCTCCGCAACATCAGTGACGAGTCAGAGAAGTGTCAAGCCATATTGGACAGGAATGACACGCATCCCCCCCTCCCCCCCCCCCTCGACATGGGGAACAACTGACTACACATATCGAAAAGGCAAGCATCACCTCTTGTCATTGCTACAACATGTACTTCTAGATAAAGGGCCTCCGGAACCGGACCTGTTGGTCAGGTTATCACCGGACCAACTTTTTGTCCACCGACACATGTCTACTACTGTCGAGGTCATGTGTATCCACCATATCGATACACAAACTGTATGAAAGGCCGCAATACTACCAGACCAATCATAAACAGCTTCCGGCGGTCCTGATATGCATGCAGTACATGCATCGACATAATCAATGAAATAGGAAGTACAGTAAGGTTAAAACCTGTGATTGCCGGACACTGTATCAAGCGGAATCCGGCACTGACCGGCCAAATGTTCACGCCGTGGATCGACCTCACATCCCTGGATCAACTGGAATCCTGTCATATCAGGATAGTTTCCTCTGCACCAATGACGTCCAGTTGATTAGGGCAGGTTTTACTGTGCATGGATTTTGAACTATGCAACATGCATACTCTCCTCGATATGGTGCGATAACCTGATTCTCAAGTTTCAAAGGCCTCTTCTTACATGAAAATAGCTATGGGATCCATTCTTGTTCTTCTCCAGCTTCTCCACCAAGTCAATGAAGTCAGGGAAAACACCAATGTTACGCTCAAACGGTGGCTTCCAAACAAACTCCTTGCCATCCATATCACCGTAGTAGAGAAACTGGCGTGTGTGGGAAAGTTGCACAGCGAGTTTAGGACCACCGATGTTCTGTGCATAGAACAGTTGATCCCATCTATCCACTGCAGGTTTCATCAGGTTGGAGTTCTTGATTAGAACAGGTCTCTGTACACGCACATGTGCGCACACATACATGCACACATACATACTTTAAGTTGTGACTGTTGTTCTGACTAGTGTGCACACATACATGTATACGAACACACATACATGCCCATGAACATACATACATACATACATACATACATGCATCATGCATGTACACACACACACACACACAAAAGTTATAGGAGAAAACAGACAACAAACAGTCGCCAGTTAGCTTCAGCTATAATATTCACCACCATTGCACAAGTCTTCCTGACTCTCACTTGGACCATAATACTAGGTATCGTTGACATAGTTTGCGAGCACTACGCGTACTGGCAGAGAAATATGCTAAGAAAATGGATACCTGCATGTTCTACAAGTCACGGTTATGTGGGCAGACTATCTAACACGTGCAGTGTGACACCGGAGTTTCCACTATGTTTTTTTGGCAGTATTGCCACTCTCACCGCTACTCTACAACTACTCAGTGAAGTTGAACCTCACTGGATTGGGGAACTTGCATGTGTCTCATTGTGTGTGTCCCCCCCCCCCCCCCTCCCCATGGAAAACATGCCACGACCATCTTACCCCTTGATTCAGCATTTTTTCCAGTTTGGGATCATTGGCGTCGATAGAAGCCAGTGTGGTCGTCTTGAATGGATACTTGCCCTTGAATCTCGCTGAACTTGCTGGTCGTTTCCGCTTGTCTGACAAAGTGGAGAAGAGCACTCCCCCGCTATCTTCTTCCGCCGGTGGTGCTTCCTTGACCGTCGGGCATTTCTTAGAGCAGGACTCCGAGTCTGTCGTCTTCTTCGTCTTGTAGTCACCAGTTTTGATCTGCTTTTGAAGGCTTACCATCTCACGGCGCAGTGCCTGGATTTGCGTCTCCAGCTTGGCCTTTTCTTCAAATAGCTCAAACATCTCTGTAGAATGAAAGTAAGGGAAACGGAGCATAATTCATTTAATTCCGTGTACCAGACATCCGTCACTCTCGTTACCCCAGCGCTGCGGGGCTAAATGTTGATGAAATTTGCAGCCATGCGCAAACATGAACACTGGATTGTAGCTAAATTCACACTGCAACCTTCTTCAATTGTTGCCCCCCCCCCCGTTCGGAAATTACCACACGGGTGCACAATGCATGGTTTGACTAAAATGTTGTCCATCTTGCCTTTTCAGTACACGTAGAAGACAAAGGGCCAATCAGAATATGTCACAGTGCAGCTCAGAGTTTCATGCTTATGTAGCAATCAGCAGGCAACTGATCCTTGCCTGATGATTGCTAGTAGCCTACATAAACATGAAACTCTCTGAGCTGCAGCATATCCAAAAATGGTCCCTTGTCTTCCATGCACGTGTGAAATGTTCCACATGTTGCGCATCGAGCACTATTTCAGCGGCTGTTGCTAGTCTCGGGAATGTTTCCTTCCCGTGAGTATGCACTAGACGGCATGTGGCATGCCCCGCACAGTAGACCATCGTTCGGAGTTCCAGGGAAATAATTCAGTACAATTATATTTGCCGACTGGACAAACACGTCGTCATGCGCGGACGGGCAAGTGCATACATAGCCTTGTGGCTAGTCACCATGGTCACTGGTACACATGCATCTACAATGTACAGCGTACTCAATCTGCAGACGCATGTGAGGAACAGATTCTAGCGTTTAGCAGTTTCAAGTCAAATGTAACACGAGGAAGTGATCTGAACACGTTATATTGTGCCATTAGAGAGGTTGTTGTTGTTGTTACAAGATGCACGTTATTTCTGACGTGACGCGAAAGTTCAGCTCGCGTTATTTGCTCGCACGTCGAAAAATCAACGCGAGTGACCTGCTGCTCACGTCGAAATTTGGAGTTTTACGCCAAATTTGACGTGAAAATGCGCGTCACGTCGGAAATAACGTGCATCTTAACCTCTCTATTATTCTGGATCGGTTGTAAAAAGAGGACATTGTTTAAAATAAACACTACTAGTATGCCATTTGTTTTGCTAGAAGTGAGAGCATGTTGAGCAGGCGCGTGCACCGTATGAGTTTTTTGGTGTCTGGAAACCACCTTTTTTCGGGCAATCTTGCCAAAGGAAAAGCGTGCCTACGCTCGTACTGGATTGGTTATCCTGCATACGCGTCTATCGACGGGCAGTTTGCAGTACAGTGACTATGTCCTTATTTCGAAGTGAGAGAGAGTTGCTTTGCATGCAGTTCGAAATACAATATTCTCTCTTTCTTCAGTGGAGAGTATCCACAGAGAGATCGATCTCTAGCTCTGGTTCGCTCCTGGATTGGCGGTGACGTTTAAGAAATCCGTTTTGTCTCGAAATTCGAGTCAAGCACGCGCGATGCAAGTCAGTTCAAGGATATGATTGACGACATCTCCTTCCAAACTGTTGACTCAAATCAAGATGACAGCCTTTCGTTCTCGCTCATGTGCGCAGCAGAGATGTTCGTCAAAAACGTTATCGACTGGAAGACGTAAAAATGTGCGTCCATGATCCACTTGCGCTGCTTCAGAACGAAGCGCAGCTCCGGCCGCGACTCAAGGGCTCGGGGCTTCGCTTTTCTCCCGCGAGCTTCCATCGAAGCAAGGTCCATAACTCTTTATTGAACTCATGTGGAACATTGCCAATACATGCCGAAAACTTCGTCATAAGAACAGAAAGAAAGAAACGTCGAAACAAGCAGTGTTTTGATGAAACAAACATGCCTGCATGGAGTGGATTAGTGAAGTACCATAGACATAGTGTTATACTTATAGACTGTAGTGTATACAATTCATGTAGCCTGGGCGGCTAGGCCTATAAAACTTTTACGGGTTTAATATGACAAACATGTACAGTGTACATGTATATGAGTACATTTTAAATTTGCACCGTCTTTGCAAATACTTTTTGAAGTGCTGGTACATGTATGTAGAAGGTAACCCGTGCTCGTTTTTTCCTGCTACCGGTTATACATGTACATGTACAATGTAGATCTACCAACATTTCCAAGTAACATCGTACCCTCCATTCCTCATTACTCTTATTTCTGTCCTTTCTACCCCTGTACCTGGTGCCCTCTCAGACGCGTTTGTGCCGGCATGATCTGATGATAGCAGTCGGACGAGCCCCGCATCTCATCAGCACCAGTGTTCATTGGTGCCCTGCACCCCTGATCTTGAGTCTCCCCCCCCCCCCCCCTAGTCTCCTCCCTAGCCCTCGCCGTTATCTCCGACGGGATGTTCGGGGGATGCGCATGCGCATGTGCACAAATACATGCTTATACAATGGGTCTCCAGAAAAAAATTACCAACTCTAGAAACCCCCCTTTCAAGACTCGGTGCACGCCACTGTTGAGCATGTTTTCGAGGCGAATTCACACACCTTCCTGGACTTCTTCCTCGGTTTGTTTCGCCTCAGCCGCGATCACAAGTAAAGCAAGCACCAGGCCCAGTAACGCTGGTAAAACTAGTCTAGCCATACTGCTGCAGTTGTGCAGAACGCCACTGTACGGCCAGCGGCGCACGACCAGCGGTAAATCTCCGCTGCACCGCTTTTAGATCAGTATCAGTCTATGGGAAGTAAGTTTTAGCACCAAATCCGTCATACCAACACTTGCAGCTACGATCTTCCCATTCTATTTCGTCCTTTCGGAGGAATTACCGGTAGACCCAATACTAAAGACTAAACTCTAAAGTGATCCTTCCTTATTGATCTTGATGCCGAACTTCAACTGAAGTTCACGTGCATGTTCCCCTCATTCCTAGATCTTCTTCCTACCTGTGCAAGAATGTGGTCGTGTTGGCGTCATCACCATGATTACCAGATTACGGACGGACGTTCTACATACACATCACACGGTACATGCACACGGTACATGCCCATCATGTTGATCCACAGTCACTCAGGTTTGCGCCCTGCACCAGCTCACCATCCCAGTGTTCGCAAGTCTAGGGCTGCACGGCGCCCGATGTGGCGTTCACTCGCTTGCCAGTAATATCACTATCACTATCAGTGCGCATACTTTCATCAATCAAGGAATGCATGCATCATAATCAGATCAGGACTACGCGTATTAGTAGAAGTACAAGACAGGCAAGCACTGCGGCTTGCCTGTCTTTCAAGCATGCACTACAGTTTTGTAATGAGGCTGATGATCATTCAAGCCAGGTGACTTTGAATGGTAACAGAATAATTATGATGTTACCCAAACTCGCTTACATCTGAAACGTATTGGGTGAGCTTCCAGGACCGGCCTTGTTTGGGTAATTACGTTATTCATTTCCGCTACATCACCCTTGTCCTTGACATTGTTGAATTTAGTGTGCTGAAGGCATGGCTCAAGGGAAGCACTCTGTCAGTCGGTGCTCGCTACAAGCTACGCTTGGCGTTGTGTTGTGTATGATTGCAAGCATTGGCAGGTTACACGTGGCTGGTGAAAGATCGGCCGAAGGCCTATTCCCATTTCAGGACTACACACTGCCAAATAGTGTCCGAATTGAGGACTTCATCTCACGACTCACCCTTCAAGAGAAGGCAGAACAGGTAAACGAACACTGAAGCTTGTGCATTATCAAAATTAATTTTCATAACGTGAGAATCATTTACAAATGTACATTTGCACCAATGAAATAAAAGGCCAGATTGTTAGCATGCCCTCTGGTATGCGCACACTTTTCACATTGGAACGGAAACAATCTCCATGTCTACATAACAGTTGAGGAGAGACCTGCCAGCTCTGGACCCTTGCTATGCGCATTCTTTGCCTAGGTCACTGGCATCATACGAATAGCGCATTCTGGCAACGCAGGGCTGGTGATCTGTAACGTGATACATGAGATCACCTGCCGGTCGCTGCTCTGCTGGCCTTGGTCGTTCACGTGATCAATCATGTGATCAATCATGTGGTTCCTGCCGGCGCGGCAATCCTGGCATCACACCTATAAAAATTTGTATACGAAACAAGGTCCGGGCCCTCGCCATGCTTCGATGTTACCTCGGTCATCATGCGCTCTTCATTGTACTGTCTTTTGCAAAGCTTCGGGGATAAAAGGTGTACTGGACCCTGGCTTTGCCAGGCGCTACTTTCTCAACGTGATGTCTTTGCTTAAGTTAGAGATAAGAGAGTGAGTGAGAGAGAGAGAGAGAGAGAGAGAGAGAGAGAGAGGCGAAACGAGACTAGACGAGGCATGACACCCCCCCCCCCAGATGGCACAAAGGTTCCATAATTATTGAATGTGTGTGTGTGTGTGTGTGTGCATGCCATCACTGCTGCCCAGTGCAGCCCCTGCTCAGTAGCTGTTTGTTTTTGTCCACATAATAATTATTATTTATATTACGAGTTGGGTTTGTGAATAATAGTAAAAAATAAGTAAAATAAAAAATGCGTGTGTGTGTGATTGAGTCTCACCCGGGTCGTGTTTCCCGTACCACTGTGGTGATATTGACTGTGTTTATGTGCACAGCTCGTCTCCATGTCACCGAGTATACCTCGACTAAACTGGACAGCATTCAATTGGCGCTCTGAATGCTGTCATGGATGGGGATTCACTGGCAGTGACTATGAAGGTAAGGGATACGTGTACAGTCTCCCTGGGTGCCGGAATCCGACCCAAAGCAGTGCATATTTCGCGCCCTCAACTTGCACGGCCCTTGCCGCCCTGGAAGGGGCACGAGGACGGCTGGATGTATAAATAAACAAATACAATGTCGTAGTCAGAACTGTCCAGGGTGCCAGCTTTACGCTTTGGGTCTGATTTCAGTGAGCGCAACTACACTATGAAGTCTATACATGTATGTGCTGGCTGTTCGCCTCAAACCTCTAACGAATTACATGCAGTGGATTCGTTTAGCAAACGAATGCCATGAACTGCCTGCGATCCGCAATGTATTTCATGACTATTTAGCAGTTTGGGGCAGAGAATGCGTCTCTCAACCAGCTTACACACTGAACTGTACAACTAACTGTCACAAGACAGTTCATTTTGGTGTAATCTGGTGGGTGATTTAGAACTGTTGGTGAGGCTAAATTACACAATACACGCGTATGACTCTGGAGGACAGGAGTCTATAAAAGGAAGTAGCTTGTGCTATGGATTCTGATCTCATCCGACCTGAAGCAAAGCATGCATGGCCTAATGTACCATACTATCCCCTGTAAACGTGCAGTGTTTAATATTTTGTAAGCAGCTCAGTGCATAACTAATTTTAGAGACTGTAAAAGCATCAGAAACGTGAGCATTTATTGATTCTAGCAGAGTTAATGGCATACATGTACCATGCTAAAATAATTATCAATGAAATAGTAGTCCTTGGGGACGAAATTGGTTGCTCTCAATATGAAACTCACCGGCTTCCTTTCAAATTTACCGACTCGCAATTGCCATCCCGAGGACATGAGGGGCATGTCACACCTTCCACTTTCGAAAACCTGCAAGAATGCACCACTCCTGCTCAACACACAGAGCTATGAAACTTAACCTTCATCAGCTAGGCGGGATAAAGATATTGAAATGTGTGCTCCGAGAGCACTACACTGTGTAGCCCTCTTGCAGCCAAAAACATCACTAACTGTACGAACTGTTACACTGCGATTGTGACATCACTAACCGTACAAACTGTTACACTGCGATTGTGACATCACTGACCGTACAAACTGTTACACTGCGATTGTGACATCACTGACCGTACAAACTGTTACACTGCGATTGTGACATCACTGACCGTACAAACTGTTACACTGCGATTGTGACATCACTAACTGTACGAACTGTTACACTGCGATCGTGACATCACTGACCGTACAAACTGTTACACTGCGATTGTGACATCACTAACTGTACGAACTGTTACACTGCGATCGTGACATCACTCACCGTACAAACTGTTACACTGGGATTGTGACATCACTAACTGTACGAATTGTTACACTGCAATTGTGACATCACTGACCGTACAAACTGTTACACTGGGATTGTGACATCACTAACTGTACGAACTGTTACACTGCGATTGTGACATCACTGACCGTACAAACTGTTACACTGGGATTGTGACATCACTAACTGTACGAACTGTTACACTGCGATTGTGACATCACTGACCGTACAAACTGTTACACTGGGATTGTGGCACGCTGTTTCCAGCGCAACAAATACCTTATTAGGCTCCAGGTAGCAGATAAATTTTTCACCGCTCCATAAGTGGCAGTGACTCACGCTGCTACCAGGAGCCTGACAAGGTGTTTGTCGCGATGGAAACAGCGTATCACAGTGACTTAGTGTCGTATTTCTCCGTTATTAAGTCACACTTGATTACAAGTTGCAACCCATTTTCAGGTCTGAGCCAAACTGTTTCAATGCATTCACATAAGTAGGGAGTCACACTCGATTGTGAGTCGCACCCCCTTCTTTGCCCTTGAAGTTTAGTGTAACAAAAAGTGCGACTTACATTCGGGGAAATATGGTATCATGGGCGAGGTTTGGGCTGCGACAGTGGTACATACAGCTATGCTCTAGAAGTGCACATTTCATTAACCTTTGCATGAGCTGAAGTTAACAGATGAGGGATGAATTTTGTCGTCTTTCTATTTTTGAACTTAGTTGGAACAATCAACTTCATTTCTATTTTTGGTGCTGAATTACATTCTGAACGTCACAGCCTTTCTTTGACTTGAGGTGCTTGGCTTGGTCAGCAGTCATCTCTTTTTCCCAGGTCCTTTAGTTGGCATTATAGCTCTGTGAAAAACTGCCTAAAATGATTTACAAGTAAAAAGATATGTACTGTAGAGGAAAGCGGGTGCAGCTGCTGCCACGGTGTCGCTACTGTTGTCATCATTGTGTTGTTGTCGCCGCCGCTGCCGCCGCTGCGGGGGCTGCTGGTGTTGCTCCTGTCGTTGCTGCTGTTGCTGCTGTTGCTGCTATGGAATACCTATGGCCGTTAATATGTACATAGGCAGTGGATGGAATGGCACAGCGTCAGTGTTTCCACAGGTCATTGGCATGTCAGCCAGTATGGATGAGGAGCTGGTAAGTCATGAAGTGGCTTTTTTATCCATGTTCTTCTGCCTGGTGCCAGCGCATTTATATTCCTCATAATGCCCAATGACTAAATATCATCATGTGCCGCTACCACTGCATCATCACCATTCTAATCGTTGCATTCTCAGTGCATGCTCGATGCATTGAAGGGATTGAAAGCAATAAAGCTGGCAGCTCTTGTCCGGCTATTGTGCTACTTGTACATCTAGTGCATTGCGCCATGAATATGGTAATGTGTGTGTGTGTGCCTCTCTCTCTCTCTCTCTCTCTGTGTCTGTGTGTGCGCGCGCGCGTGCGGTTGTACACAGGTACAGGCAATAGGACACGCTGCAGGCATGGAAGGAAGAGGTATGAGAAACGTCACCATCTTCTTATCAGAGTATTTTTGAACTGTTTAGGCAAGTACTTGAAGAAGTATCTGGTGAAGTTTCCGGCAGCCCCCCCCCCCCCAGTTACTGCACCCCAGTATACACATGCTCAAGGGAGTTTAAAAAATGATAATATTATGTTTAACAATGCTAGGATGAAACTGCAAGGCCTTGCTTTCTTGTTGGCCAGGAGGGTGGTTACACTGAAAACTTCTCGTTTGAAGAACTAGTATTTGGACCAAGTAGGTGCATTCACTGGGTAGAAGGTACGGATAAGAACTACCTCTGGGATGAACAAATTCCACCCGGATCTATTGGTGTCATCCTATTCAGATTTGACTGTATTTGGATACCATAACCAAACACAGATGGTTTGCTTGCACTTGCAGTGTTGTGAAAGAATTCCCCGACAGGCTGTAGTAGGAATGAAGAGGCTGTAGTATAGGAAAGAAAAGGACCAAGGCTTGACAGTGCCTGACTCTTCATTCGAGTTTAGACTTCATGCATTCATAGTTCATACAACTTGAAGGGGTATCTAGGATTATATCTTCCAAATAATAGTGTTGAACTGATGCTGCTAGGTTATGTAGTGTTGCTGCTATGTTATGGCTTATTCCTTGCTTCTGACTCTTTGTTGCCTAGCTGCTTACAACAATGCAAAGAGACAGGGAATCCATGGCCATATGATGACAGGCCTGCATTGCTTCGGACCCACCACTAATGTACGTGTACTTCGGTGCTTTCAAGTGAAATCCAGCTCCATGACTATATCAACTCCGATCCGGAGCTATGCAACCCTTGGCACTATGTAGATGGGACATTGTGCAGTGAGCATACGGTCAAGTAGCTTTCCTGTACGGATGGGGTTGGATTTCATCTTGTCGTATATGCTGTAGAGTGCTTGTGAAGTTAGCTGATGTTCATAAGTACCGTTATGGTACTCAGTATTATGTGTGTTGCATGATGATTTCCAGAAACCTTCATAATCCAACTTCTAGTCCGCCGTGATGGTTACAAGTGCACTGCCGTGGTAGTCCGCGGCATGTAGCTTTCGCCCTCCATGCCAATACTATAGGCATAGTCACTCGCTCCAGTCATCTCCAATGGAATTCATGATGTATGTAGTGCATGCCTGGCCCGGGTGAGATGTACTGTATGCCTGGTTTAGTACGGTCATTTTTCGCTGCACGGATTGTTCCGCTTTAAGTGCGTATAAGAATGTAAAAGGGGGTCGTGTACGACGCATACTCGCTCTCCCTGTGCATCCAAATTATTGTATTTGTTGTCTTTCGCCGCCAGTCTTATGACACTCCTCAGAATAATATTCTGCGCATGCCGTCTCTCAATGCAGGCCAACCACGATCCCAGATGGGGTAGAATCAAGCGTACGTGGGGCGAAGACCCCTTCCTGACGGGCACGCTAGCATCAGGTATGATTGTGTCATTATCCTTCTTCAGCATGCACTGCAGTGACCCTGTGTTCATAGGAAGTGTGCTCTTTGTGAATGACACGTCACTTCACTGGGTTGTTCACATTTTAAACACCGCTCAGTACCCGCATTGAATACTAGCTGTGAGATGTTATAATTATTTTGCCTGATGATCGTGGAGCAGGAAACAGTCCTCTGGAAGCTCTTCCCATTATTGCATTGAGCAATGTGTGGGCAGAGGATTGATTCCACTGCGTATTGGAAACTATTGAAGGTAGCACTCCAACGGATACAGCTTGACATTACAAAACTGTCTTGGTTGCTGCGGCCTGTGTTCAGTTGCAACGTGATCAATATCACTGTGCTTTGTTGTGCGGGCCTGTGCTATGCTGTGCTGTGCTGTGCTGTGCTGTGCTGTGCTGTGCTGGCCCGTGCTGTGTCTTGTTGTGCTTGTGAATGTAGCACATATCAAGGGACTGCAAGGTGGAGATGAGAAATACATGAAGATGGCGGCCGATGTCAACATGTTTGCTGTGCACTCTGGACCGGTAATGTTCTGTTCGAGAACATTTTGCTGGCAAATGTGAATTTCCGCCACACGTTATGATATTTTTCGAAGGTGGGGGAGGAGGGGGGGGGGGGGGGGCTCGAAACAAATTCACCTTGTCTTCACTTGTGCTTTTCAGGCTGATAGCTGCTTCACTTCACACCCATCAAATCATGCAGCTGTCTGTTTTTGCGTATTCTGCAGTGCTGGACAGGTGTTGGCTCCAATGTGCCATGGGGCAGTGAGTGCATAGCATCTGTGTGTTACAATGTACTTTCATGCATGACACTTGATTGCCCAATGATGCACAGGATGCCATACGCCAGCACTTTGACGCCAATGTGTCTGACCGCGAACTGTTTGACTACTATTTACCGGCCTTTGAGCAAACAGTCAAGGAGGGACAGGTCAGCTCAGTAATGGTAAGCTTAACCATGGATCAGCCACAAGTTGACACTTGGCAGTAGGAGTGTGTGGTGGGGATCATTTCCGACCATTGTAGCAAATGGCGGTTATGGTCTTTGATGACTTTCGGGGATCTGATCTACCCGTCCCCACCATATTATGAGGTGTATTTGACATTTTCATCCAAGAAAGTAGTAGCATACTTATGAATGAAAGGAAGGTGTCCTGAATGGCCTCTTGCAGCCATGAAATGCATTTGATCCGTATGCCGCTGAGTAGCTAGGTAAAGGGTACATCGATTCTGTTGGGCGAGACCATCCATGCTGGATGCCAACAATACCCAAATACCTGCATTCAGTAGATGCCATGTTGGACATGTGGAATCTCTATTTCAAGTCTATGTTTTCGTTGCTCACCACCCAATTTCACGCCGGCAGCAGCCATATCATTGGAAGGGAGCGTTAGAAGGCCATGATAATATGGATAGGAGAAGACGAAAGGTACAAGGGTAGAAGTTGCGAGGAACTCTTGTGTTTGATTGCTGTGGATTGCAGGTAGCCTACAGTGCCTTTCGTGGCATTCCAGACAATTGCAATCCTCTGCTGCTGACGGATGTCCTGCTGAACAGATGGAACTTCTCCATGATCAGCTTCAGTGATAACTCTGGCGTACTGGCAAGTACAGTGGAACACCGCATTGCATCGGGCATGTTGAGACACGGCATTGTCTGTAACTAGGACTTGTGCACAACTTGAATCAGAACAGACATACTGATTCCATTCCTTGTACTATTTTGTGGTAATCAACATGTTTGTTTTTGATTTCGTTGAAAAGTCACACATGCTTTTGTGACAGTGGAGAGGGACAGAATTGAGAGAAAGGTTCCTGGTAGACAGAAGTGACCACCATATCTGGGGAGTTTGGATTTGGGGCAGGGGCGTAGCACCCGCTACGACTGGTACGGCCATGGCCGTACCACTTTTCGAAAAGTGTGGTCCGTCCGAAACGTGCAAAACCGTGATAAAAAATCAGGATCCATCGATGGCATGCATATATGCGCATCAGACTTTGACCTTTTTCTAGACTTGTAGATCTGTTATGCATCTGTAGTCGTAGACCCTACTGAGTACTGTACTCGACTCGACTGCACACTACGAACGACGTTACGTACACGTAGAAGTGTGCCAGAAGTTCCCAGAACGCAGGATTTTGTGTCTTTTTTACAAAATTTTCCCGGGCGAGGTCCCCCGGACCCCCCTCCAACACGGCCTTCGTCCGCAACGACCTTCGGCCGTACCACTTCCAAAACCCCTCCTACGCCCCTGTGGGGAGCTGTCGCTTAGCAAGACTAGCAACCATGGGCTGACTGGCTTGCTGGCTGCTGCATCAATGACTGTCCTGCTCATAATGCCTGCCCGTCTCTCTCCCTGTTCTCTGACAACTTGCTTGTTAATTCGTGCGGTTGTTTTCAGACGTAAAGCCCTGCTGTAGAGGTCTCAGCCCTCATTTGTTAGTCTCTCTCTCTCTGTCTCTCTCTCGCTCTCGGATCTCTCTCTCTCTCTCTCTCTCTCTGTTTTTGGTGGACAAAAATATCTCTGGCGTTGATTGCTTTCTTGCTTCGACTTCTGCCGCGCCTTTGTTCTCGTACTCCCCTTTATGTACAAGTGTTGTGCAGACCCTCCCTTAATATAGTCTGTCTCATTTTGTCCTGAGATGTTTTGATGCATAGTAATTATGACGCTCATCATTCGCCCCCTTGTCACTGGACAGTTCTGTCCGTTTGGTTTTAGCGAATTCAAATAAAGAAAACAACAAACAACAATGGCACCACAATGAATATCACATCCCTCGTACGGAAAATCCTTCCCTGTCGATCGTGATGCACACAGATGAGGGAATGTATCATGCACTTGGTACTTTCTCGGGAATCCCTGCGGAGTCCCAGCAAAAATCCTTGTCTTTGCTTGGTCGGTGGTCTTACGGCCTCTTTTCAGTTATAGCGAGCGATTGTAACAGGCAACAAAACACTGGAGAGCTAGCCTGTGCACTCAGATGTCTCCGTGGCGCAATCGGTTAGCGCGTTCGGCTGTTAACCGAAAGGTTGGTGGTTCAAGCCCACCCGGGGACGTCGAAATACTTTTTTTATAGATGGATTGAATATTTTCATTTTTCTCGTGATCTACAGAGGCATTCCACCGCCAAACTTCCTCTGCTTTAACGGTGATAACTCAACACAACTTTCTTTCTCGTTACAACTGTTGTTCTAAACAGTTCATTTTTGCTCACTATCTCTTTTTCAGGGAATCGTGTCGACGCAGAAATACACTTCAAGCTACGCAAATGCTAGTGCGCTATCGATTGTAAGTCCAACATTCAAGGCTTTAATATACGACGTTGCCTTGTACAGATAGATCTATTTGTTGCGATCTGCTTGGAGTATAATGTGCAGGAACGTAGAGATGTGCATGACATGTTTCGAAAATGTGTAGTGCTGCCTCGGACATTGTCTTGATGAATTATGTTTGTTTGTGTTTAGAATGCTGGACTTCATCAAGACATGGCCAGCGGTGGGCCATCTAGCCAAGGTGCTTTTCTTACCAATTTATAAACCCGGTGTGTGCATGCATGCGCACGTGTGTGTGTGTGTGTGTGTGTGTGTGTGTGTGTGTGTGTGTGTGTGTGTGTGTGTGTGTGTGTGTGCGTGTGTGTTTTTTGTGTGGCCACACGTAAATGCGAGCACACTCATGCGTGCAGGCTTGTATGTTACCCTGACTAAATCAGTAAATGCACCTAAACATTATGTTTTCAGCATTGAAGCTACAGCAGTTTATGGACGATTACAGAAGATGAATAGTGTGTCGCATGTGCTGTGTGCAGGTTGGAGATACGGTGGTTGCATATGGAATAAGTACCTTCCCCAGGCTGTCCAGGCAGGGCTAGCCAAGGAGAGTGAGCTAGATGCAGCGCTACGCCGTGTGCTGGGTGTTCGGTTTGCTCTTGGCAGTGAGGATCCCGACTGGCTTGTTCCCTTCAGGTACTTCTCATGAGCCATGACTATTCCGTAGAACCCTGCGGATAAGCCAAGCTGTGTAACGATATAAGCCCATGCCCGCACATACACATAGGCAAAGGGCGCACACAATGAGGCATCAAGAGGCATCTTCTGATGAGGCATGCAACCCACTGGCTAACTAGAATGTGTGCGACTTTGAGATGTTCATGTTCCTTCCTTGATTATACAGGTACTTCAAGTAGCTGTGCAGGTAGCTGTGCAGGTAGCTGTGCAGGTAGCTGTATGTAGGTGACATTGTTAGCTACAGGTACTAGCAGTTAGCAAATCATTGCTGTGTTTTGGTTCCTGAAGATCTCGATCACTATAATTATGTTAGTCCATCCAGTGGCATTTTTAAATGAGATAAGCCCCCGAGCTTGCCTGTCTACTTCAATGGCAGGCCCGCCGGAACCGGTCCAGTTGGTTAGGTTATTACCGGACGACCTTTTTGGCAACCAACACATGTTTCCTACTGTAGACGTCATGTGTACCCGCCATATCATACACAAACTGTATGAAAGGCAATGATACTACCAGACCAAGCAAAAAACTGCTTCCGGCGTTCCTGAATGGTATTGGATTTCTTAGGACTACCCTGAAACTGGTGAGTATTGGATATTGCTTGGTATCAGCCAATGCTTAGTCTTCCAGGCAAAGGGCAGCCAATGTTTAGTCTGCCAGGCGAAGGCAAGAGCCACAGTTTAGAGCAAGGGATGAACTATGGCCAAACTTTCCTAAGACCCTTGGCCTTTTACACGTTATCCTGATCTTTCCTTGTGTTGTTGTTGTGTGCTGTTGTGTGCTGTTGTTGGCTGGTGTTTGCACTGCTGCACAGTGACATTGGTATGGATACTATAGGGTGTCAGGCACATTCTGAGCTGGCTGTGCAGGTGAGTCGCAGTATTGCTTGTCACTGTAGTAATGTTTCATCTCTTCCGAACCCATGCTTACTCTCCCCAAGTGAGGACGGTTTGCACTCATTACGAAGTGCAACTCCGAGGGTCCACCCGTGTCTATTCAGGATTGTCATGAACTCGTGCAGTCTTCCACCACCAGATCCAGACGTATGTAGATCCAAATATCTACCTTACATGTATGTTTGACCTCTATATAAGTGTCTGCAGGCTGATGATATATGCTGTGCCATGTCTGCTACAGTATGGCCTGTAACCGTACACAAGTTTGGTGCACTGACAGCATGCTGCTGTGTCTGCTACTGCACTCTCTGACAGGCAGCTAGGAAGTCCATGGTCCTTCTAAAGAACAACAAGACGCTTCCCCTGACCAGCACAGCCACTGGAAAGATACTACTCGTCGGTAAGAGTGTGTGTGCATGCCTGTGTGTGCGTGCGTGCGTGCGCGTGCGCGCATGTGTATGTATGCATATGTGTGTTTTTGTGTATTCATTTGTGTGCATATGCGTGTGCAAGCGTGTGTGTGTGCGTTCACCACTGACGGCTCGCTGGTATGTCGAAACACGTAGTTTTAGACCTCTGGATATCTCTGAGCTAAATAATATGTCCCTAGTGTGAGCGCCGTCCAGCACTGAGACACAGCTCCAGTACTCATACTGATCACTTACTTACTTTGTTACTTTGTTGGTCTGGTGGTTTGTGTTGCTATAGGGCCACATGTCAATTCAAGTTCAGTGTACTTTGGCGGCACATACTCAGCTTTTCCAGCAAGACCAACAGGTTTGTCAGGCACAATGCGCTGCTTGAACTCGGGTGCTGTTATCTCAGCAGAGTGTATTTAAAAATGCATCCCTAGCTAGTCTACACTTGGCCTGGTGAAACAATAAGTATGCAAGTAATAATTATGTTTCCTTCAATTGATCGTACTTCGAAGTAGTCACCAAAGCAATCCTGGAATTGCTCAAGAATTGAAGGAGCTGCAATGAAATAATATGCTGTATCCTAGTGTTGAAACGAGCGTATCTATAACAAACGAGCGATCAGTTTCACTAACGAGCAAGCTATCGAGCGAGCTAACGAGTTTCATTGATGTGGCAAATATGATTTTTTGAATAAAAAAATTCTTAGTCCGATTTTTTCAGCTGGTTCAAATTATCACCGCCGGCATTTGGGGTTGCTGCTGCTTCACTTCGGACTGCTGTTTGGTGTCGAGATGTCTTTTCAGCGCCGTCGTCGAGTAGCCTTTGTAAGAATAGACCGTTTTGCAAAGATTGCAAGTAGCCCTGGTCTTCGCTGCATTGCGGGAGAAAACTTCCAAATGACTGAGCGAAACTTACACTCGAATGGAGAGGTGACCGAAGAATATCCTGCGTCAGGTCAGCAGATGCGGAACAAGACATCACTAGAGCCCACCAAAGCTGCAACGACAACTGAAACAACTCAAGTGTCGTGCAGGCATACAGTCACTGTAACTGCGAGTGATTTTCACTTTGCGCGGGACTGGACTCGCGATCGACCAGGGAGTCGTAAAATATTTTTACGACTCTCCGGTCGACATGTACTGCCATGTGTACGGAGTAGACCCGGGTGCTCGAATGAGACACAGGGTACCAAAACAGAAACACCCTGAAATTGTACCTAAACTTGTTCCGATTTCGTTTAGTTTTCACAAATACCATCAACATACGGCCTCCTAACGGTATGCCAAATTTCAGCGCTGCCCGGTAAACACTTTTTGAAATACTCGCGACCCACTTTTTGCTGGGTCCTGGATTCGAGGATATGGGTCTCCTGTACGGTGCTGCCAAAGACCTGCTGAATCTGCGGCTCCACTGACCATCTTGCTCTCAAAAATGAAGTAGTAAGTTACTACTCCCTGCCCTCAACTGCCACACCAAGCGTAGACGATGGCAGACCCGTGTGCTTGAATCGGAGACGATCTGACGAGTTCGCTGTTTCTGATTCGAGCACCCAATTTTCAAATAAAAAATCCGAAGGAAATACGACAATTTTACTGCGTACTGTAGCTTGTGTTGTAGCGCACCCAGGTTCTGAATTCCTGCTGGGTGGGTCAAGCCAGACTCTCTTCCCTGTTCCATCGCCTCTCCAAAAGTATATTCTGACATTGTTGAGATTTACAGATGAGAAATTGCACACCTGTCAAATCGTTTCTGATTCGAGCACCCGGGTCTACGGTGTACAGTGTTCGTTAGTGCAAACGAGCTGGCCGCACAAACGAGCCGAGTTTCTGGCGAGCGAGCTAACGAGTATCCGGTGAGATCGTTTCAACACTACTGTATCCACAGTTGTCCGAATGTGTCTTCCTGTTTCTGATTTGTTCATGCTCCCACCCTTTGGTGGATTGCAGCACTTTTGAACAGGTTTCTTAGGGACAGTTGCTCAGACCTAGGCTTTAGAGGGTTTAATTAATCAATCGATGTGTCCTCCGTGTTTCTTTTGCTGTCTTTGGCACCAGGAACAATCCTGGAATGGATGACGCAGCCGTCTCTGTGGCCTGACACGCATGGCCTGCACAGTTCTGTCAAGGTAATGTTTTCCCCTGTTGTTTATGTGTTGGTTCAAGTCAACCTAAAGGCTAGTTGGTTCCTGATATACGAGGTAGACAAAAGGCAGCAAAGCTAGCTACCTGAGACAGTACATGCCGAAAGTATACTTCATTCCATCACTGGTTCACAGAATAAATTATATACAGTCAACTTCGCTTATAACGACACTCGGCGGGGCATCAGAAAAGCGTCCTTATTCGCGAAGTATCGTTGTATCCGAAGTCTCATTATTTGTGTTACAGCTGGATGGGACTTTGCTCTGGGCATAGAAATCGAGTCGCTATTCGCGAATTGTCGTTATATCCGCAGTCGATATTAGCAAGAGTACATGAAAACCAGAGTGTGCAGCTTGGTGCCTTTTCTGCTATGGGTGTCTGTCACGGCGAAATTCCGTGATTACATCATAATTGGCCCAGATCTGAGGCGGGAAATGGCGTAGTGCGTACAACTGAGCTGCAGTTGTGCAGAAAGAGACCTGCTTGAATCCTGCTTGTACGCACTACATCACTAAAATGATGTAATCACGGAATTTCGCCGTGACAGCAACCCATCCGAGCTGCACACTCTGGTTTTCATGTACTCTTGATATTAGCGAAGTTGACTGTATCTCTTTTTGGCTCTTCTTCTTTTGACTTTTTAGATGGCTCACACTAGATATACGGACCGATGGTGTTGCCAATATGACAACACCTCAGGAATGTTGGCCAACTTTAACATTGCAACTAACACTAAAAGTGTGTGTGTGTATGTACCGTAAAGTACCGTTGATCCTCCCCTCCCCCCCCCCCCCACGCCGTGTCGCTTCCCAGCTGATTTTTCGGCAGGGGGTGGTAATTAGATCAAGTCGTTCAAGTGCAGTACTATGTACAACAAAGCAGAAGATCAGACCTGGAATGCTGGATTGTGCAGACTTTCATCCTGCACTCGCATGTATGGTGTGCAGCAGGACATGCGTCGGTTCAACATCGTATTTCATTGTATGCGCCGACGTCGCTGCACCGGCAGAATTTCGACAGGGGCTGGAAATTGGAGAGAGAGCGGATCAGCGGTACTTTACGGTATTCTTGCATGTGCACACACATGTTTACACACCTGTGCACACACATGTTTACACACATGTGTGTGTGCGTGTGTGCATGTGCATGCATGCGTGTACAAGTGCATGCGTGTTTGTGCATGCGTGTGCGTGTGTGTGTGTGTGTGTGTGTGTGTGTGTGTGTGTGTGCCGTGTATGTGGCTGTCTGGACGTGCGTAAATGTATGCGTAAGTGTCTGTGTTTCTTTTTCTGCTTGTGGTTAGAATATGGATGTTCAGTATGTGCCTGGATGTCCAGAAGGTGTGTGTTGCTGTTTGTGTGGAAGGTGTGTGTTGTTTGTGTGGAAGGTGTGTGTTGTTGTTTGATTTTTTTGTGTGACATGTTGTACTTCTTTAACGCCTATTCCTCCAGTTAACACATACCTGATCATTGAGACTGTCACAAATTCCTCTTCTGAGAAATATTCTAAAATCACTACGATCATATTTCCACATTTCGACTGTGATTATGTTGTATGGTTGGCAACAGCTAACAGCTAAGGTTTTCCGAAAAGTAAGTAATCATTTCTCATGGAGTAGACTGTGCATGATGTGTGTTGTCATTATTCTGCAGTTACATGCCCTGACAAGAGTCATTTTGCTGAAGCCATGGCGGCCGCACCACAAGCCGACTTCATAGTATACGTTGGTGGCATTGACGGCAGTCGAGTGGAACGAGAAGGCGGTGTGAGTTCAGTTTCCTTTGTCTTTTTGGGTGGTGTTTGTAATCTCCAACTGGATTATCTGTCCCACTGCGGCTATCATCTAGTGTGTCTTGTCAGGCATCGCGGCTAGCAGGTTGGCTGGTGTAGCTAATCCACATCTTGACTTGTATATGTCAACACCACCTAATACACTGACAATCAGTTTCTACATCGGACTGGTTGCTTGGACAGGGGGTGGGGTGGGGGCACGGCTGGACTCCATTGTATGGGCATGCATTCATCATATATGACAGATCAATCACATTCACATTGCGCATAATGTGTTTGCGATTTCATGGTTCACTGGAAAATGTATGATTGCAGGGGCGGATCCAGGGGGGGGGGGGGGGGTTCGAATGAACCCCCCCTGATTTTTTCCGACCATAGTTCGGGTGTCACCACTAAGTAACACTAGGCACTAACCCATGCCCATGCGACGTGCGCGTCCCATGCTACGGCCCAGTCGGCCCAGGCCAGAGCGGTCCGCTAGCTATGCACCTTGGTAGATCTACATGACTTTGTACATAATCATTGAGTTTGTCCAAGCATCTACATGTACATCTACATGTACATCTACATGTACATGTACATGTACATGTACATCTACATGTACATGTGTTGAGTTCGAAACAGGACGACTGACAACGGGAACAAGTTAGTGGGAACGACATTTATTATAGACGAGGAGACAAGAGACCAAGACGAACGAAACGACTACATGATGATTATTGACGAGTGAGAAAAGAGAGAGAGAGATCAAGTCTGAACAGCAAGATAAAGGGCCTGGGTAGCTATGGCAAATATGGGCGCGCAAGTAGCTACCCAGGCCAACGGAACAAAAGGAGACAAAAGGTGAGTACGTAAGTGCATGCAGGCCAGCTAGAAAAGGTACGGGAGGAGGTACCTAACATACCACCCCTCCATGAAAAAAAATCCCGCGTCCTCGCGGAGAGAAAAAAAAAGAGAGAACAAGATTTAAAAAAATGACTGAAGGAGAAAACACACGCACACACACACCGCACGGGCCTCACAAAAGTGTGTACTAAAAAATGCACTACAGTCTACAGATCATTACAACCGTCAACGTTCCTGTACTACTCATACTATAGTGTGTACATTGCCAATAACAACGGGCCCAAACGCCCCTTCAAAACATGGCACAAAATGGAGTTCGACGAGGGACTTGAATTGTATTCTGAGGACTAGTATTTTGCACGGCTAATAGAGCCTAGTTACACTTTAATATACGACATAAATAAGAGAGCGTGGCTCACCATGATCGGACCCCTAATATTAATGAAGGACACCCGCGCGCACACACACTACAAAAAAAATTCACGAAAAAAAAATTTGACGAAGAAGGAACGCATACAAAAAAAGAAAGAAAGAAAGGTAGCTGACCTGCATGGCTTGAACGAGACGAGGTTGACATAGACGAGACGAGGTTGGCGTAGGAGAGACGAGGTTGATAGAGACGAGACGAGGTTGGCGTAGGAGAGACGAGACTGACATGGACGAGACGAGGTTGACATAGACGAGACGAATGGCGGTTGAGGACGGCTGCAGGGGCGTACACCGCTCACCTCCAGGAGTGGTTCCCATGCCAACTGATCAACCAACATTCCACACGCTAGTGCTCTTATACGTATCAGACGGAGTTTCTGCATAAACTGCTGGATAATGTCACTGCTATTATTAATTTAAAAAAGACTCGACTTTGCCAAGGCATTTTTATGGATGTGTTGTTCAGCAGGACGATTGCATGCAGTCTTGAGTCGGGTGATATTCTCGAGAGGACTGCGGTGAAGCTGCCCGAGCTTCGAATCATCTGGAGCAAACATCACACAGGGCAAGCAGAAGCCACCATGGCATGCCGGTCAAAAGACTACCCAGGGAAACTCCTCCAACCAGGATAGTTGAAAGCGCTGTTTGCCCTCCGTCTGGGCACGCACAGGAAACGAAATCCTTCGCCTTCAGTGGCGCACAGTGATTGTCGATGACGGAAATCTTTTCCATGTCCGGCATATTTCGGGGGAATCAGGGATTACACTGTGGAAGTACACTTTCAGAATATCCTTTCCAACACACTCCAATGTCACTGAAGTAAGTCTTGGATGATCCAGCAGCTTCCAACAACGGTCGCTCTACAGCTTCGCCGACGATTCCGTCCTCTGTGCTGCTCGTTGCAGACTCCACTTGGAAGTCAGGTGCGTCCGCAATCTCATCTACTAGTATCGCTTGACCTTCGTCACTGGCTACACGCTTTGCCTCCTGCTCTAAATAGCTCTGAATAGAGCGCTGGCCCTCTGGATGTCGACGCTTCATTTTTCTTTTTCACAAAGCGAAAGCATCGTCAAAAACGTAACCAACTTTGTCGAAACAAATTGACAAGGAAATGACTCTGAGATCGAGGAATCGATGTAACTCGTATGTAGAGACTTTGTTGTGCCCAGTAAGTTAGTTCAGTAGATCTACGCTGTGTCACAAAAATGCCCCAGCAGCACTTTCACACCTGATAGTCACCGTCGACCCTCGGACCGCCAGGCGATCTAAACATTCTCCGTAGATCTACCCACATCAACATTTGTTTACTGGTTCCCAGGCATCCTGGGAACCGCCCTATGTACGCCCCTGGGCTGGGCATGGGATGATCTCAGGGTCGTGGGTCGATCAATAATCGGGCGCCAATGTTGAGTTCGAAACAGGACGACTGACAACGGGAACAAGTTAGTGGGAACGACATTTATTATAGACGAGGAGACCGTTGAAGAGACCAAGACGAACGAAACGACTACATGATGATTATTGACGAGTGAGAAAAGAGAGAGAGAGATCAAGTCTGAACAGCAAGATAAAGGGCCTGGGTAGCTATGGCAAATATGGGCGCGCAAGTAGCTACCCAGGCCAACGGAACAAAAGGAGACAAAAGGTGAGTACGTAAGTGCATGCAGGCCAGCTAGAAAAGGTACGGGAGGAGGTACCTAACACATGTATAAGAGGCAGGCTGAAGACCAGCTGCCATTGAATTTTGGTGACACTCCAAAGAATAGTGTAGCCACCAGTGTCGAAGGTAAAACAAGGAGTGAAACGCTGAAAATCACCTTCAAGTTCAACGTCCCATCATCCAATAATCAAAATTTCTCCGAACTGGAGACACTTATGACTGAGACACACAAGATGCAGGAAGCCTGCCTTATGGAACCTACTGTACAGTGGAGTCAACATAGGGTGGCTCGGAGTACAATATTACTTACAATTATTACAGACGAGCTGCTGGAGAAAGTACCAATCAGCTATTCTGGGGCAAAGAAATTGAAATTTTCTTCCTTGTGCTACGTGTCTTCGATAATGTTTTAGCTGCAGAGTGTTGAAAATAGGGGTACTGAAGTTACATTTTTAATTAGTGGCTGTACCGATAACGCGAACGTGTGAATTTGTTATACAAATGTGTCTGTCAACATTTCGTCATTGTGGGTAGGGTGGGAAAAATTGAACCCCCTTGGACAAATCCTGGATCCGCTCCTGGATTGTGCTCACTGCTGTGCCGGCTTTGATTTCTGCAACTTTCCAAACAGGATCGTGGAACAGAATCATCCAACTGGATCAAGTCACCATTCCCCTGCGAGAAGGAGGACACAGATTCCCTTAGGTATAATCATTTTGTTTTTGCTTGGTGGTTAAAATCTAATCGAGAACAAGCACACATGATTCTCTCCAGGCCATGAAATTGTGCAGTTTTTTTGGGCGGTGCATTTTGATCAATGATTCTGATGTGCTCATCCAATGTGTGCATGTATGTGTGTGTGGCTGCACACGTGTGTGTGTGTGTGTGTGTGTGTGTGTGTGTGTGTGTGTGTGTGTGTGTGTGTGTGTGTGTGTGTGTGTGTGTGTGTATGTGTGTGTGTGTGTGTGTGTGTGTGTGTGTGTGTGTGTGTGTGTGTGGCTGTGTATCTGTCTGTATTTTCATTGTTGTGCAAATGTGCATACAGTCTTCCTGGCTGTCAGGAGCACTTGATAACACAGCTGTCTAGCACTGGTAAACCAGTGATTGTAGTGCTGATGAACGGTGGCCCGGTTTCCTGTATCAACTGCTCATTATATGCAAGTGCTGTCTTGGAGACATTCTATGCTGGACAGGTAAAGTTATTGATAACTGAACATTCAGATCTGAAACTGATGCAATTTTGTGAAAAGGGGTCAGGCCACCCAGAATTAATTCGTTGTTCCGGGTCACCCGACCGACCGTCCGTCTTTTTTCACCCGATCGCAAAATGTGTTTTTTACAGTGCATGCTAATGTACATGGCTAGACTATGTACACACGCAACCCTAATAATAGCAGTCGAGATATCGACCTCAGAAGCAGCCAAAGGACAGGATGCAGCGCTTGGTGACGATGTTGTGTCTATCTCCGATCCGCAATCGGTCCTGAAACAGCATCAGCTCCGCCACCGCGTCGCTCTTTGACAGAAGTTTTCAATGTGAGAGCTGCTCGTCAGACTCGTTTGCCAGTGAGGCCAAGATCTGGTCCTGGAGGGAACCTGGATCTGATGGGACAATGACTGCGCTGGATCGTCTACAGTCAGATTTGATCGGCTGGCTTGATGGACAAAAGCTATTCGATCTGCACAATTGTACATGTATGCACATATACATGTATATGGCAGTAACCAAAATAAAAATAAAATAAAAAATAAACCCGACCGACCGACCCTGGTACGGATGAGTGAAGTGACCCGAGACAACGAATTAATTGTAGGTGACCTCATCTTAGAAAGGTTGACTTAAGTGTCCTTGTCCACAGCATGTTTCTCTTTCAAATAAGTATAGGAACCCAATGTATTCATGATGAAGAAAGGAAAAGGTTAACATGTTACGAGTTATGACAAACTGTCCAGCAAAGTAACCAGATCTTATACAGCCAGCGAGTGGGACAAAATTGCACAAAACTGACAAGGAGTACTGAGACATTCGGCGACCTAACACCTAGCTCCAACACTTCTCCAAGGCGCAAACCAACAACCTTCCAACTTGGAAGGCTCAGGTTCGGAAAGGTCCAAGAGGGGAAGGAAACATTTTGTCCTTTCCCTTTCTTCATCATAATTATATTGGCTCACCATCCGAGTTCAACAATGTATTCAATTCTAAAGGCCGTTCACAGATACCAATTTGTGGTTCGTGGGGGGGGGGGGGGGGGAGGATCTTGTTTACATGATGTTCATCTTCTCGGTAAAGGATAGGAAACACAACGTAAGGACGTTCAGGGCTCACCACGACCATAACAAATTCAAAAAGCACCGACCACCATTCTGGAAAAATGGCTACAGCCGCAGAGGCCAGAGCCTGTGCAGTCATAGCGGCTACGCACCCGAGTTCATGCTGATCGGTATACAGCGATGTACAGTCGAGTCCTAAAACACCGGTATTTTACGACTTCCTGGTCTAGTCTGTGCAGCGAAGGGCCAGTGCCAAAAGAATCTTGTTGTTTGATGCCGGGAAAGACACGTGGACAAGACGTATTTTCTCCAAGCCATCTTGGCCATTGTTCTCAATCCGCTGGTGCATGTTGACCAAGATATGTGTGTGAGGTACTGGTGAACTGGAGTCCTGGCATCTACAAGATTTTGTCATGCCTAGCTAACCAATGTTGTCAGTAAAACTCAGCGTTTCCTGGTCGTGACTCGGCACACTCTTTTCTGTTTGACCTCGCGGCTTTCGACCATGCGAGTGTGGAGTTTCCTGGCCACAAATGAATTCCTTAGTCATGACCATGATGACAAGTGACTGGTATGATCCCTGACTGGCCTGAGTCCTTAGCTTGAGTCAACACGAAGGTAAACTCTTCACTTGGAACGCTTGCGGTCTCCTCGGCCCTTTCTTGTTGCACTTGCAGATATATATGTAGGACTCAGTATAGAGTCCATGCACTATATGATGTCCAGCACCCTATATAGAGTCCATTGGTCCAAAATCCACTATACAGAGTCCAGGAGTCCACTCAGTTTTGATCAGCTTCATCCTGCCGCGCAATCCCCTATAAGGAGTACACTTTTTCCACAAGTCCCCTATTCACAGTCCAGGAGTCCAGTTTATCCAGTCACGCCGTCCTGTGTGTTGTGCCCGAAAGAGAACACATTTTCAGTTTTGCTTGCCTCGTGGCAGCGCATTCCTTTCTTCACTTCAGCCATGGCTGCCAATTCTGCTGTGCAGTTGCTGACAGTAATCTGTCTCGAGCTAACCAAGGAGGATAAGGAGACGTTCAAAATCAAATCTGGAAAGCGTCTTGTGGTTCTCTGAAGACGTTTCATCAGTGCGCGGGATGAAAGCAGAAATTGCAGAACGAGAAAAGTTCAGCACAGTTCAAATCTGACGAGTCAGGTACACTGACGCTCTCTTTCGTTCGACGCCACAAGGATCCCCTGTTTGGCTGGCCATTGCTGCCAGTAAGACGTTTGAACGGTTTCATCAGAGCGAGGGATGAAAGCAGAAAGCGGAGGAAGAGAAAAGTTCAGCACAGTTGCAATCTGACGAGTCAGATACACTGACACTCTCTTTCGTTCGACGCCACAAGGATACCCCTGTTTGACTGGACAAGAGCTGCCTGTACCACCGTGTCAAAAGGCTGTCCAACTACATGGCAGGACGATGACTGAGGTAAGGAAGCTTTTACTCGTTTCGATTGGTCTGCTGTTCTGTCGTTATGCTTGAATTTTTTTACCATTTTCAAGGAGCGTATCGCGTTTGTTTGATGTTGCTTGAAGGAATGCCCTAAAAGTAATCAACCACTTCGTAATAGTCCTCAAGGACTGCAAGGACTTTGCATCAATCGTATATGCATATATGATCGTCTAGCTATCATCAATTATTATTTTATTTCATGAGAAATGTATTCAAGTTTATCCCTGTGATAATTATGTGAACTCCACGACACTCTTCCTGTAGTATGATGTCAAATACAATGGGATCCACAAACGCAGTGCCAGTGTACTAGTAGTAGTAGGACTAGGAGGATTGCTTGTATGCCAATGACAAGAAAAAGCTTCTCAAGCTAATACTCGTATTCTCTGAAGTAACCGTTTTGATGTCACGAACATGACATTGTGTCAGTGAAACTGCCTCGTGACAACAAATCATTGCATTTCCATCTTGGGGAAGACTGACTGACAGCAACGCTGTACAGATTGTTCAAATCATCTCATTTCAATTTAGTTGCAGTGAAGTGAAACACTGTGTACACTACATGTATGTTGGTGTGTCTGTGCGTCTTGAGTGTGCGCAAACGATCTTATTCCTCGTATTACTAATATAGTAATAGATTATTGTCCCCACCATCACCTGTTCACAAGTCTTTGAGTGGATTGATTTTCATTGAGCATCACATTCGTTGAGAACTTGGAAGTTGTGTGCTCCCGTGCATCATTACGGTAATAAGCGTATCCTTGTGCTATCTATTTGTTGCAGGTGTGCTGATCTTCAGAAGCTTGCGGAACTGAGTGCTGCTGAACATTTGCATGGCCATGAGCAATGGTGAAGCTTGCTATTGCACTCTCAGCATGTGCTAGTATTATGCTGACCACTGCACTATGTTACTCTCTTACACTACTACGTGTATGTAAACGTGCGTGTACCCGTCCCCGTACGCATTCGTTTCGTATAATTATTTGTTATCCCTCTTGACTTTACATGTAAATGGGTGGACGTTTGCATGGCTGTTGGAGTTGCATGTGTATTGTGTCTCTACTCTTTTCTTGGTGTTTTCTTGGCGTTGTATAAGTTTGTGTGTGTGTGTGTGTGTGTGTGTGTGTGCGCGCGCGCACAATAATTTTGAAAACAAATAATTAATCCTGGGCTCTCCATTATTCTCTTTCGATTCTTGGTTTTTTTCTAGGTATTTTCTTGGCGTTGTGTGGGTGTGTGCATGTGTGTGTGCGTGCACAATAATTTGGCAACACTACATGATTGAGATATTGTAATTTGCAGCGTCTGCGAAGAGACCACTTGATTTGAAGATGGTGTTTGTAGGGTTTTTCATGTAATGAAGTGGCTGCAGTGGCGCCTCAATACATATTTTTTATCTTGAGAAGTGAATGATGTAAAGGATTAAAGGGAGAGGCCGTTTTCTGGTTAATATTCACTGCTTACAGCAGGTCCTATGTCTATTTTCGAACTCGATAGGGGATGCCTAATTGGCTGGACTTTATACAGGGGGTGTTGTCCACATAAAGACTCTTTATAGTTGATTTCAAAGTTTGGACTCCGTACAGTTGATTTTGGACCAATGGACTCTATATAGGGGTGAAGCCAATTGGCTGGACTCTATACAGGGAGTGATGTCCATCGAAACTTTGAGCTCACAGTTGATTCCAAGTTTGGACTCTGTACAGTGGATTATGGACCAATGGACTCTATATAGGGGTTGGACATCATATAGGGGCTGGACGCTCTACTGAGTCCAACATATATGCGCACGGCTGCCAGGTTTTGTTGGTGCGCGCGAACGCACGGCCGACATTGATGTCTTCAAAAAAGTAAAACAGCGGTTCTACTTGGCCGATTCTCACCGTCGATAGCTCATTTTCTCAGTCTTGGAATACTCTATTGGTTCACCATCCCCGACTTCTATATTTTCTCTTTGTTCACTTGTTCGCACGTCTTCGAGTTTGAGTGATTTCACCATCCGATCTCAGCCAAATGAAGGCCAAATCGAAAAATTCGATACAGTAACCCTCCAAAGACACACCTTCTGAACACGAATCCACAATAGTCTAATGTTTAAAACAAACAAATACAGCCAAGCTAAGCTCAGAAAACACCCCACAATTGCAAGAAACGGCCTGTTTTGCTGTACGCTGATTGGTCAAATCCAAATGACCGTTATTGACGCTTTGTACAGTCATGGTGAGCCCTGATGTCATCTACATGCAAGTACATGTATTTGCATGTAGATGATGATCTACACACAAAATGCATAAAGAAGGTGTAAAACTCTAGAAACAGTCTGTGTGCCTTTTGTTTGTAATAGTGCTCCCCATTGTGTTGAGCCCTCTCCGCTGGCGAAAGGGAATCTCCCTTTATAGTTGATGGTCTACATGCACATGTACAGTGGAGGCTAGTCACACCCAAGGGCCAAGCTCATCACACCCAAGCTAGTCACACCCAAGGGCCAAGCTCATCACACCCAAGCTAGTCACACCCAAGGGCCAAGCTCATCACACCCAAACTAGTCACACCCAAGGGCCAAGCTCTTCACACCCAAGGGCCAAGCTCATCACACCCAAGCTAGTCACACCCAAGGGCCAAGCTCATCACACCCAAGCTAGTCACACCCAAGGGCCAAGCTCATCACACCCAAGCTAGTCACACCCAAGGGCCAAGCTCATCACACCCAAGCTAGTCACACCCAAGGGCCAAGCTCATCACACCCAAGCTAGTCACACCCAAGGGCCAAGCTCATCACACCCAAGCTAGTCACACCCAAGGGCCAAGCTCATCACACCCAAGCTAGTCACACCCAAGGGCCAAGCTCATCACACCCAAGCTAGTCACACCCAAGGGCCAAGCTCACCACACCCAAGCTAGTCACACCCAAGGGCCAAGCTCATCACACCCAAGCTAGTCACACCCAAGGGCCAAGCTCATCACACCCAAGGGCCAAGCTCATCACACCCAAGCTAGTCACACCCAAGGGCCAAGCTCATCACACCCAAGGGCCAAGCTCATCACACCCAAGGGCCAAGCTCATCGGGGTATACATGTATGATTGTGTACCAAGGCTGCAGGTGTGGCCCGTGCACTATAGAGCCAAGGCGGTGCGTTGACCGCGCATTCTTGTTGGTACATGCATGGACAATCATGAGTTCGGCCTCTTATCTGAACATGCTAGACCGGGTGAAGACTAGATGATGCTTTTTTTTTAAAATATTTCTAAGTTCGTATTTTTTATTCCCTCGAGCTTATTGATATTCGATAATGCTTTGTCAAAGGCATTGATCCAACATGGATAACAGTGTGCCTATTCGTCTTGAGGGGGGGGGGGGGGGATGAATAAGCACTGTCCTGAAAAATATCGATATTTATGGAATACTCCGACCATAGACAGTATTTTGCGTAGTGTGTTCTTGGCAGCTATGCCTTGTAAAAAAAACCTGTGTGGAGAGTGGATAGGCCTGTCTGATTTGTAGTTATGTTGTGTTTTGTTTTCTATTTACAGTCTGGACCTCAAGCTATTGTAGAGACGCTATTTGGTTTGAACAGTCCTGCAGGAAGAATGCCATACACCACCTATATGCTGTCTGATCAGGTACAGCCCAGCTTTGCTGTCTGCTCTGTCTGCTTCTGCTCGACCTTCCCATGTGTACATGCGCTTGTCTAATATGTTTGTGTGTTTATCTGTGTCTCTGCCCGAGTCTTCTCAAGACTCTTTCATTGATGAGCCGCTGGATGACTCTGGGCATCCCCCATTCCTAGCAGTAATTGATATTGGTGAAACCCAAAACCTCTCTCTCTCTCTCTCTCTCTCTCTCTCTCACACACACACACGTACGCACGCACACACACACACTTTCTTTGGAGAAATGAACAGTTTAATAGAGGAAAATGTGCGCTTCACCTTCAACTGCATTCTGATGGCCAGGAAAACATTTTCTTCTTGTGCGGTGTATCCAAGGACTTTGCACATCTTGTCAAGGTATTTGGTTTACGTACATGTAGGCTGATGTATTGTCTCCATTGTTGTTGTTACTTTCAGCTGCCCAACTTCACAGATTATGAGATGGCCAAGCCTAACAATGACGGGCGTACATATCGCTATATCAGTGCCAGCACTGCAGTACTGCACCACTTTGGTGATGGTCTCACCTACACGCTATTCAAGTACACACAACTACAGGTACAGGACATTAGAACAGTAGAACATGCCTCAATGGCTGCCTGGTTCACCAACAATCTGTTTTAGACGGCCACGGTATTTTTGTACTGAATGTGCATGAGTCACACTTATTTCACATACCACACACAGACACGCACACCTACTTACACACGCGTGCGCGCGCACGCACACACACACACACACAGACATGTTTGCATGTCAAGGTGATTGGGTTGTGTTGCATGTGTGCCTCTCCTCCTCAATGCCAAACTGTAGAGTACAGCATCAATCCAGCCTTGTGCTTTGTTCAACATCAGTGTCACTGTCACCAACATTGGCAATTGTAGCAGTGATGAGGTAAGTACACACAATGCAGGTAGAAATGTGTATGTATTTGTACCGGTAAGTGATTGCAGCATAATTATTGTATAACATGTTGTTTGTGAACCTGATGAAGGCAATTTGCCGAAATGTTGTAATAATTATTGTGAAATAAGTTGAATTATTGCAGTGTTATACCGTAAAGTCGCGGATAAAAGCCGGGCTGAAAAGCATATAGGCCGCTTTCTGCATCAGGCTTTAATGCAAACCAGGCTTGTATGCAAACCATGCTTATATGCACCACTGATATTTTTGCCAGGCCTGTATGCCAGGCTTCTACGCGTGACACGTGTAGATCTACCACCGACTACCGGTATGGCGGCAGCTTTACTATGCACCGTACATAGCGTATGCGCTCTTGGCCTACCCGATCCGCTCTTGCATAGAAGCCAGGCTTCTACGCGCGACAGGCTTATATGCCTTTGACCCGTTTGATTTTCAGGCTTCTATCCGCGATGTGCTTGTATGCAAACACGGCTTTTATCCGCGACTTTACGGTATGTTGTTTTAGAGTTCGATATCGCCGAGTGAATGGGAAAGAGCGGTCTGCTCTGAAACATTTCCCTACTGCTTCAGTAGTATGTTATTTTAGGTGTACTAACATTTCGGTGCCAGGGACCTGGCAGGTTTCAGGCGTAACCTAACCTCAAATTACCAAAATATAAGTTGCACCGAAAGATACGTGTTATACCGTAGCTGCTTTTTTCAGCGCTTGCATGAAACAGGCAACTCCACGGAGGACCGCACCGCTTTCTGTGCGCCTTCGTGCACTTTCTGTCAAGTTTCATGTGTAATAACTAGGTAAGAATGAACGGTGTGAATCAAGAATACTCCAACATTCCTGATGATTCTATTCTCTTGTTTGCCAGTCTCAAGAGCAGTAACTGTTGGCTAGTTAGTGTTGGTAAGACACCCGGGGACATTGAGTCTGCGCCCAGCACTCATTCGAACATTCGGCACAAGTTTGTTGCCTAACACAGACATCCTTGCACCAGTGTACTGGTTGGTGAAAGTCTTTCTATGCTGTATGTACTGATGGTTCATGCTCTGTTGTATTTACTGATGGATGCTCAGGTGGTTCAAGTTTACCTATACACTGCACCAGAAATAGCACCTGAGGTGCGCCTTCCAACTCGATCACTGAAGGTATGGTACCAAAGCAGGCTTTAGTGCACAACACACGCACTCGGTGTAGCCCAATGCACGGGGAAACATTCTCCCATGCAGTTGACAGCACAAGCCCTGTCTGTGTGTACTGATTACAGATCAATGCACCACTGCTTTTCGTGACGCTCGGTACTCGTGCACTAGAACGCACAAACTCTCATACCAGCTCAATTGTTTCTGCTCGAATCTTCCAAGTATTGGCATGACCTCTAAGTGTTGCATCCGTGAATTTCGATTGGCTTCAAACGACAGGGAAAGTGTGGCGTTCGATTTTCCACAGTACACGATTGTAGCCGCATCATGTACTGAAGGCAGTGCATCGCGCATCTGGCCCATAGAACAGAGATCACAGTTACATGCTATTGGTTATGGACTGTCGGTAGACATTCGCAAAAAAATTAATACTGAATGTACTGCCAGCGCTGTTGCAGTCGTATGCAGCAGACATGCATTCTTGCCGACTCCTTACGGTTTCCTTCCACTCAGAGCTTCAAGCGCATCAACCTGGAACCATCTCAGTCGACGACAGTTGAGTTTTGCCTCTCACCGTATGCACTCAGTATGGTTGATAACACGGGACAGCGACAAATCTACCCAGGTACGTGCGTGCTCAGTCTGCCAATCTGAATATGGTGTCCATATTTGAGGGTAGCTAAGTAAGCGCACACACTCCTTCAAGACACACTGCGCTGTGCAGTTGAGGAACTTGCTGCTTGATTACCAGTGCATGGAGTTCAGCGCGTCAGACAGGTTCTGCATCACGCTCTGCATGGCCGCATGGTTGCATGCAAGCTTGCATTCATGCCGCACAGTTACCATGGTTACTGTGTCTGTTCTGTGCTACATGTATATCCAATATCCAGTAGTGTCTGTTGAGCCTGCACGGATGAATGTGTCCTGCAGTCATGTGGCCTGCTTGGGCCCCGCGATGACCTAACCAGTGTTACGATGGCCTGGCTCTGTCATATCACATGCATATTACATGCAGATCACATGCATATCACATGCATATTACATGCATATCACATGCAGATCACATGCAGATCACATGCAGCAGCGCATGACTCCAGAGACTGATTTACAGTGTGCCGGGTACATTGTATAGTGCAGTCACTAGCGTGATGACTTAGTACAGTTACTGTAAAAGTACAGTACTCCTCACTTTGCTGAATTCTATCGGTGATTCCCGTGTGTGCCCACTTGCAGGATCTTACAATTTTAGTGTTGGGGGACATCAGATTGAGGGTGCTCTTTCATTCGATGATGTCATTGAGGTAAGCAGAGACAAAGTGATGAAACAGGGGAAGCGAGGGCTAGGCATGATGGGCAGTTGTTATCGAGGTTTGCGAAAGAACTTCAAAGAAGTCACAGTGATGAGTCAGCGGAATCCCGGAACCGCTTGTGGGCGCTGAGGGAAGCATGGGTGCAGTGAATGGGATTTTCGGTCTTTGACCACTTTGTGGTGGGTCTGATCTACTCACCTCCCACCGCTTTAGGAGCTGCATCTGCACCGTGATCCTTGAAGGGTGGTGGCGTTCCTACGAATGCGGAAAACTTGGCTGCCAGCCAAGTCTCAGGCGAACCGTAATTTTTTTGTGGGTTCTAAGTTTACACTGCGGAATCGCTAATGGGCACTATATACATGTGTATAGAGTGAGTCGGTAGCGAGTTGCAAGTTCATCTCTAGCGCGCGTTGCATTGTGCCACGGCTTTGCCAACGCATTTCAACTGATGATGTAATTGCAAAAACTCTATAGATCCCATGAAAGAAATACCGTGCTGCAGTTCACCACGTCAATTATGACCCGTTTTGTACATAAAGCGAGCCATTTAATTCCACCTTCAATTCGAGTTAACCCTTTAAGAGCCACAGGAAAATTTCAAAATTCTGCAATTTTTCGTGTTCCTTGGATCATAGCTTCAGTTCTACTCACTCAATCCTCACAATCTAGGGCTTCCTGGAAAGGTCTCTGCGAGAGGAAGATAATGAGGTCGATCATGATAGCCAGCACACCGTCTATCCAGCACTAGATCGCAGCGACAGTACTAAAAATGCCCCAAATGCGTCCAATTGCGTCCCGCTCCAGATATTTCATTTTACTCGATCGTGGAGTTCCAATTTTTTCGCTGTGTACTCTTGACAATATCAACAGTGAAACCCGTGCAAATTCGAGTAAACCAGCGTGACGAACAGTCTCAAAATTCTCAATACTAAAGTCGCACTGCGCGCTTTTGAAATTGCCGCGATCGCGGCTCAACTTACGAGTGATTTATCTCAGGAACCGTTGCTCGCAGCGCTTCGCGGATTGTTTCTCCCGATAGGTGAGAGTTTTCTCTTCGCCCTGGATATTTCGATCACTGGGTTTGAGCGAGATTGGACTGAGTTACGATCTTTTGAAGTTTTGCATTTGAATGCGTCGTAAATTCAAGTATGGGGCGGCTCTTAAAGGGTTAAGATTTGCGGTGACTTGGAGGTCAACTGTTCTCACACAGTCACCTCAGAAGAAGAAAAATGTTCGTCTCTGTGATAATACTATTTTGTGGAGATTGTCTGACTGTTCATTTTTGGACGAAGCTGCTCCGCGGGCCTCATGGCTCCTGCTGCACTTGACACTTGACATTTGACTGACTCACGGCAGCCATCCGTAACACACAAGGAGCATATCGAACCATCCACTTGGCAAACGTGCAAGAAAACACAACTCCCCTACTCAATAAACGGTGTTTTGGAATTCACCCTTCATCAGTTGAGCAGGAGTGGGCTAATGAAATTTAATTTGTACTGCAGGAGCACTATGTTTTGTAGCACTCCACAAGCTCCATCATGACCATTCATAGTTGATCTAATAAAAAACAGATAAAAGCCAGCCCATGCTGTTTGGGGTTGTTGTGCATTACTTCTTTACCCATTGCTTGTGCCTTTCTGCATTGTGTGTGTGTGTATTTTGTGTATGTGAGTGTGCTTTGTGTGGGTGGGTGTGTATATGTGTGTGCGCGCGCATGTGTATGTGTATGTGTGCGTATCTGTGTGTATGTGTGTGTATGTGCGTGTGTGTGCGCATGTTTGTGTGTGCACGTGTGTGCATGTGTGTGTGTGTGTGTGTGTGTGTGTGTGTGTGTGTGTGTGTGTGTGTGTGTGCGTGTGCGTGTGTGCATGTGTGTCTGCACATGTGTGTGTGTACGTGTGTTTGGGTATATGCGCATGTTCGTCTCACCCCCAGGGCAAAGTCAGTATTGGTACTGGCCTGGCCAATGGAATGTCAGCACTGGGATCACCTGTACCACTCTCTTCTTGTTCATACCAGCAACTGAGATGTTAGCAGCATGCAAACACACACACACACACACACACACACACACACACACACACACACACACACACACACACACACATACACACACACACACACGTGCACACACACACACACACACGTGCACACACACACACACACACGTGCACACACACACACACACACACACACACACACACACACTTGCACAAGGGTATACATACACATCTATATTGACTTGCTAGTCCAAAATACCAAAATTTGTTTGCTCTTCCAAGGATGTACTATTTTAGAAAGCACAATAGCACAATTATCCAGCCTTACTACTCACAGTCGTAGCACATTTCCTAATCATTCTTCCCCAAGTCCACTGCTTATCACAACATGAGAATGTTTGGTGGTGCGCTTGGAGTTCTTGTTGTAGCTCAGTATGCAAGGGCTGAGGTACAACGTGGACGCATTTTGGGTTTCAAACATGTGTTTGCAAAGCACCCCCTGTCCTCTACAACTTTTAGTACAAGTTGCAGGGACAGCCCAGAAGCAACAGAAATCAGCACGAGTGACATGAAGTGGGGATGTGATGAGTTAGACTACGCAACGAGAATGCACAGAGACCAACTGGCGTGGGGTACGGGTCACGATTTAAAACGAGAGAGCTTGGAAGCTAGGGCCCTACACTATGCTTTTTTGCCTTGATGACCTAGACCAAAAAAGCATAGGGATGTTGTACATTTTCTTATAAATTTCTTCTTCTTTTTTTCAAGACATAACCTGGGATTTGAACCCGCACTATCGCCCTGGATGCATCCCCCGATACACTTTGCATACATACTAATTCTTCCAAGTTGCTTCACGTTATGATCTTGCATTTGAAAGCCCTATTTGAATATTGTGGCCAGCTGTTTGTGGCCAGCCGTCTTTGATGGTACGGTACGGGACAGGTACGGTCGAGGGTAATACGACACCGTCTACCACCTTGATGACCTAGGCAAAAAAGCATAGGAATGTTATAAATTTTTCAATTCTCCTACTCCGAAGTATTTTTTGGGCTGAAACGATCATTTATTAAAGGGGAAGTATACCCTAAAATCAAATTTTCACCAGTTGTAGTCTTCTGGGTGCTGAGTCGAATGGTCTTGGTCCGAGAAAGCTGAGACGCTCCCTTCTTCCTTTATTCCCAATCGAACTCGCGCACTTCCACCGAAACTGGGTGACTGCGCCCTACTAGATGGGGATTTGTATGCAAAATGTCACTAAAAGCGCCATTTCGTTCTTATAAAAGCACGGATGACCGCGATTGGCCCATATGTTGTAGTCTTTTGGACGCTGAGTCGACTGGTTTTGGTCCGAAAAGGCTGCGATGCAGCGTTCCTCCTTTATTCCCAATCGAACATGGTTGAACAAGCGGTCACGTGCTCCTGGGTGCCCAAATCACCTGGTCACCACGCCAGCAGGCGACAAATTTCACACCAAGGTTCAACTCGAGTGACAGGAGTGCACCCAAAAAAGGTCAAACAGGCTAGTAAGTTGTACCCTGCAGGCACGGTGACCAGGTGACTGGTGTACGCAGGAGCACGTGACCACTTGTTCAACCATGTTCGATTGGGAATATAGGAGGAACGCTGCATCGCAGCCTTTTCGGACCAAAACCAGTCGACTCAGCGTCCAAAAGACTACAACATATGGGCCAATCGCGGTCATCCGTGCTTTTATAAGAACGAAATGGCGCTTTTAGTGACATTTTGCATACAAATCCCCATCTCGTAGGGCGCAGTCACCCAGTTTCAGTGGAAGTGCGCGAGTTCGATTGGGATTCAAGTAGGAAGGGAGCGTCTCAGCTTTCTCGGACCAAGACCATTCGACTCAGCACCCCGAAGACTACAACTGGTGAAATTTTAATTTTTGCCTTAACTTCCCCTTTAATATCGGATGGAGTGCATGGGCTAGAACACTGTCACTGATATGCATGCATAAAAATCGTTAGCACTCGCTTGGAACACTAACGATTATCGATTGCACTGTTAAAACGATCGATATCCGAGTTATCGATATAATTGTTTCAGCCCTAATTTTTTTCAAGGCATAACCTGGGATTCGAACCCGCACAATCGCCCTACATGCATTACCAAGAGTACATAACCCCCCCCCCCAGAGTGTGCAACTCCCACATACCCTGCTGTCCCGACAGAATTTCAAGTTGACGTCATTATTTATGATGCAATTCTCCTTTCTCCTTGCACCAGTGATTTACAACATGTGTACGGGTGTCAACGCATCACACGTTTTTCTTTGCAATAATTTGTACAGGATCGATCGGCTTCGGTCAACCACAGGTTCCGGATTCGTCTGATAATCCGTGTACAGTGCGCATTGCATCATCAAAATGACGTCAACTTGAAATTCTGTCGGGACAGCACCCATAGTGGAGTTGCACACTCTGGGGGGTTATGTACTCTTGGCATTACCCGATACAGTTCACATTCATACTCAGGCTGCGTTTACACGACAACGCTGGGGGCGAAAACGCAACGAAATCCTTTCGGATCCATGGTTCATCAGAGCTAAACGTAAAAGTTGTACACCAAAACTGAAGAAAACCAAAACGCTGGCCAAGGTGGAAGAATTTGAAAACGGAAATATTCTGCCGGAAAAATTTGGGTGTGTTAACAGTCGAAACGGTGTGCTGGCCTCGTTTTCCGTCACGTTTGTTTCGTTTTCGGCCGTTTACACGGATCCGACAATCCAAAAAATTGTTTTTACAATTTTCGTCATGTGACGTGTGTTGTCGTGTGCCTGTTTTCAACCATTATTTGAGTGTGATTGGTGCTTCCACGGCAACACTTGGCACATGACGAACTTTGGCGGATCCTTTGCTCTCGTGTAGACGCTTGAAAACGATACAAACGGAAACCACTTCGGATCGGCTTTGATCGTGTAAACGTACGAAAACGAAAGAAGAAATGTGGGACTGAAAACGGAAAACTGGCCGTGCGTTGTCGTGTAAACGCAGCCTCATTCTTCCAAGTTGCTTCACGTTATGATCTTGCATTTGAAAGCCCTATTTGAATATTGTGGCCAGCTGTTTGTGGCCAGATGTCTTTGATGGTACGGTACGGGACAGATACGGGATAGCGCCAGACGGAGGTCCGTCCGCCACAAACAAACAAACACCAAATTAACCCTTTGTGGGTCTTACTCAATGTATGTGAGGGGTGGTCACGCAAACACGCGTACAAACATCCAGCCATAACTCAAGTTATGTTAGTTGTAGGTATGGGTAAACCATATACTTTCAAAATCTGTATGCCTGGACGAGTCCAGAAAACACAAATATGACTATGTCCAGGCAAGGGTATGACCCGTGGTAGCCCTTCAAGTTGAGAGAAAATATAATTGCGAACAAAAAGCACAAAAATCACAGCACGAAGTGCATACCAAGTTCATGATGGAGCTGAAGTCCTATGATAAACAATCAGGTAAGCGCTACGTCTTTTGGGAAGAATATATGCTCCTAATTCCGTCCTTGAACTCCAATACCTAGCCATCGGCGATGCACCAGCAGCAACAGTTCCACAATATCACAATTTTGGTTCGTTCACCTCATCGCCGCTCGCGTCAGATTCACTCTCGCTCAGATGAGTACTCAGGTGCGATGTCACGCATGCCGTGATTCTCACGGCCAGGCGAATCAGCTGATCGCACCTGACAAGTCCTTGTAAGAGTTGCTGTTGCTGTGCTTCCTCGCTGGTTGGTAAATTTGATTTCTTCATTCGGGGACGATTTATTTGAGCTAGGAGGACTCAACGGAGCTCTCTTTCTCACCACATTACACTGGAAATTCTCCAGGGACATCCAGCCTAGACTGGTGCCGTCAGTGTCCTCAGAAAACCTTTCTGACACGACCTCAAGAGATGCACTCCCATTCTCGAAATGCGCGCATGGCGGATGGTCGTCTTTTCCAATTTCACCAGACTTCAGCCGATCGATACTGCAAAAATTTGTATGGTAAGTATGGCTGTTTTTTACACCGTTGGAAAGCTTTGGACCTCAGCTACGCGTGGAGCACCATTTTAGTTGTCTCCTAGCAACAAAACTCACAGAAAATGCGATTTTACTGTAAGGGTCACATACGACCCTTTCGCTTATGTGAGACCCATAAAGGGTTAAAGCTGTGTGGACCCTGGCTAGCGCCAGAAGTTACTGAAGTAACGTCTTCTGCATAGCTACGGGAATTAAAGCTGTGTGGACCCTGGCTAGCGCCAGACGTTACTGAAGTAACGTCTTCTGCATAGCTACGGGAATAACTCCGAGTTGATCTGTGATGGACATGTCGTAGTCCGACGACCCGGAGAATACAATCACGTGGCAACCCCTTAACAATTCTTACCCGGTGCCAACAGGTTGCATCCCCGAGTTCCAACTGAACAATTGCTGACGCCACGGCTTCTAGTGGTTGTCCGTTGGCACCAATCAACTTCGGGCCTTGGTCAGAGGTTTCCTTTTCCAGTGCCTTAGGTAGGCGGTCGGCAAAATCCTCTGACAACAATGTAGCGGCAGATCCTGTATCAATCAGAGCGTCCACTGGACATCCATTCACCGCTCCAGGCACCAACATGTCCGCACGTTCGCTCGCACATCCATCCAAACAAGACAAAACACAAGGATTAGGCAACTGGTACCGTATTTTACCGGTTGTAAGTCGACCCCGGTTATAGGTCGACCCCCATATCCGGAGGTCTCAATTCTGCATTTTAAAGTTTTCACCCAACGATGCACTACCAACCACGCCCTGCTACTAACACATCAACAAATCATGTAAACATTCCTTATTGGAGGGTATAACGTCCCAATCCTCGAAAAAGGCCAATAAACTGGCAAACATGTGTACACATGGTGCACTCATGCATGCAGGGCAGGTCATTTTTTGTAAGATTCTGATAGTTCCCGGTTATAAGTCGAATCCCGGTTGTAAGTCGACCCCCACCCTTTCTCCTTCCATTTTTAGTCGTAAAAGGTCGACTTACAACCGGAAAAATACGGTAGTCGTTACATACAGGTTCTTCTACCAGGACCTCTGGTTTCCGGACCCATTAGATTCTTTGGGAGGGGCTGCGTACTTTTCAACTTTGGATCTGTGTTCTGGTTATCACCAGATGCCTATGGCCCCCAGGGATAAGGAGAAGACCGCCTTTGCGACCCCAGATGGTCATTTTGAGTTTAACGTACTACCGTTCGGGGTTTGTAATGGCCCCAGTTCTTTCCAGCGAATGATGTCCGTGGTTTTAAGTGATCTTCAATGGCAGATTTGCTTAATTTACATTGATGATATCATTGTGTTTGGAAGCACGTTTGAGGAGCATTTGCTCAGGTTGCAGTTGGTTTTTG